AAGTGGATTTGGAGAAAACTAGTACCACTTGGTTCTTGGGAATTAATATTGACAACAAACTTTTATGGCATTCGCATGGAGAAACATTGGCTGCCAAATTAATAAAGATAATATATTTACTCCGATAATTAAAAGAACGCGTTCCACAAAAAACTATATTATCTGCGTACGTTGCATTATTTCAGTCCATTTTATGCTATGGTATTATGGTTTGGGGTCATTCTTCCATACATCATCGCTTGTTTTCATTGCAGAGGTGAGCTGCTAGAGTTATTCCCAACTTGAAATATAGAGATAACTGTCAAAACGCACTTCGCAAACTACAGATTTTGACATTTCCATCATTATTTATTTTACAATGTCTAAATTATATTAAGACAAATATCAATACTTACAGAACTCATAGAGAAGTACATTTATATAACACCAGGAATAATGACAATATCTATCCAGAGTATGTACGTTCAACCAGAACTCAAAGTGGCAACAGATACCTCGGAATTCGTTTCTATAACGTGTTACCCGATTATGTTAAGTATTTCTCATCTAGTAAATTTAAAAGTAAAATAAAATTTGTTTTAACAAATCGGGCACTATATAGCATAAAAGAATTTTGGAATTGTGACTTTGGTAAAATATAGTTTTAAGATTTTGGTAATTTGTATTCGCTGACCTGTGCAAAACATGTGTGTATTATGTATTATGCACCAATAAACTCAATTTCAATTTCAATTTCAATACATTAAAGACCAATAACTAATAGAAAATTTGGACATGATTATAAGAGAAGAATGATGATGTTTGATAGTTTGATCAAAAGTGTATTTATGTACGGAGCTGAGATATGGGGATGGAGGGAATATGAAGAAATAGAGAGAGGGCAAGAAAAAAACTTGAAATGGACATTGAGATTGGAAAAGTATACGCCGGGGAATATAGTGAGAGAAGAAACAAAAAGGGAGAAAATGAGAGTGGAAGCAGGTAAAAGGGCGTTTGGTTTTGAAGAGAAGTTTAGTGAGGGAGGTGACTGCAAAATATTGCAAGAATGTTGGAAAGAAATAAGAAAGGAAGGGGGAAAACATGTTTGGAACGAAAGAGACAAGTATTATGAAGGAAAGGGATATCCATGTGAAGAAATAGCGAAAATGAGAGAAATGGGAAGGAGTATGAAAGAAGAACTGAGTGTAAGAGATAAGGATATAGATAAGCAAGAACGCAGATCGAGAATATCGGAGTCTGGATTATAATGCAGAGTATAGAAAAATAAAAAAGGATAAAGTACCAAAGTAGAGAGAGAGAGAGAGTATAAAGGAGAAAAGAATGATGGCAAGATTTAGGTGTGGAAATTAAGAGAAAGAAAATAATTTTTGGATGGATGAAACTGACAGAAGGTGTAGGACATGTTGGAGAGAGGGAGAAACAATAGAGCATATGCTGGAAGGATGTGAAGAATTGAGAGAATCGGAGGAAATTAGGGAAGAAATGCTAAACGAGGATGGAAGAAGAGTGGACTGGATGAAAGAAGTACGGAAGATAAGGGAACTATGGCAACGAGTGGGCAAGCAGAAAGAATAGAAAAATTATTATATAAAACTCGAATATTTATTTTATTTTATTTATTTTTATTGATTTATCTGTATTATGTAGATTAAGTTAATTTGTACCCCTACTGGGAATCTTATTAAGCCAGTAAGGCAAATAATAAATTAATATGATGACATTAATAAAATGAAGTTAAAAACTTTTTGCTACATTTGTATTTTTTTTTAATCCTCACAAAATCACGATCTAAAATTTTATTTTGGCAAAAAAACAATCAAGTAAGCCACGTTTACTGACTCTGATGTAATGACTCACTTACCTAATCCACAAAAAACACGTGTTTTTAGTATCACAGTATTTGTGTTAATTAAATAAGTTTTAGCTTCAAGTGTTTGTTTATACGTCGGAAGAATGTCTCACGTAAAAATTTGTTCGATCTGAATGAGTTTGTCAATTACAGGTATTCCATGGACACTTGCAGATTGTGACATTTTATGTTTTATAAACACTCTTTATAGTTATTAAAACTGTATTTAATGGATGGCACAATAAAGTGCGTACGTCTGTTTATCTCTCCATAGAATATTGCATGGCAGATCTTAAAAATAAGATTATTGGTATTTCGCATTGCCCTGCAAATTCGAAAAAATTGCAATAACGTTGCACGTAGCATAGCAAGTTTTCACCTCTGTTTTTATTAGTATCACACTGCACCTAATATACATACACTTTTTAAAGAAGAAACTCACTCGAAACTTACGCGTAGCACGCTTCTTTACATTTACGTTAGCATTCTATACATGGATTTATATTAACTTATAGAGGTTCTCATAAAAAAATTCACAACATCAAATTCTATAGTGTTTCGAAAATGCTGTAGATAGTTTCGAGCAATTTTTTATTTAGTTTTCATAATTAATTTTGATTTTTCGAGGATATTTACAAATTGTACTCCGATTAAACTCCACTGATAGTTTATTCGTCGTAATTACCTCTAAAACCAAGTATTGTAGCTAGGTCCCAGAGATGTTTTACTTTGTAAAAATTGCAATTTGCGATCGAGCAAACTACTTCCAGTAGTTCCTTACAAATAATAATAATAATTGATGATTATCCTCCATAAAAACATATATAAAAAAGTTAATGTAAAAATTCGTCGTTGTGGCAACAAACATACAAACTTAGACAAAAAACAAAAATTCTAATGTACTCGCTTCACAACTCTGTATATTACATTACTATTAATAGCACTTCATATCTGTCGCCACTATTTTTGACGTCTAGGAAGTATTTTCACGAAATGATTGCGTGGAAAACATTTCTTCACTTATTTATTGTTATATTTAACATGTTGGAAACCGTGCCTGAAGACGTAAACTATTTGAACCTTTCTTACAAAATCGAGTACCCAGATTCAGCAATTTCAAAAACGTCACCTACTATTAAAATTTCCAGAGACGCCAACGCGTTGATTATTTCCGAAAAAGGTTTACGAACGTTGCTTTGTAAATTTTTCGATATTCAATTTAAAATAGATCTACTAAGTCTTGACGACTGTGAAATTGAAGAAATCGAAGCGGAATGCTTTTCAGAAATTCTACGATTTGTAAATGATATTATTTCCTTGAGAAGTAACAAACTCGAAAATATAACAGCAAACACGTTTACGGATCTTAATATTCGACAAATTTGTCTGCAAGAAAATGTTATAAGAATAATTGAAAACTATGCCTTTGTGAACTTGCCACACTTGGAAGATTTGTATTTAGGGCGCAACCAATTGCAAGCATTGAATTCAAATGCTTTTGTGAATGTTCCGAAACTGAGAATGTTAGATTTAAGTAGAAACAAAATAGCATTTTTTGTAGATAATCAGTTCCATTTTTTGAAGAGTACAACAGCATTTACTTGGTTATCATTGGAAGACAACTGCATTACAACAGTTAGCGATAAAATCTTTAATGGTATGTCTGCAACAAATATCAAGTTGGATCTATCCAGAAACCTCATAGAAATTTTGCCAGCAGGAATTTTCAATAATTATGTTTTTATGTCTATTAGTCTAAGGAAAAATCCCATCAAAAACGTATCTGATTCTCTGTGTAATAGTAACTGCACAATAAATATGATTGATATTAGTTGTGATAAAATGGATCCGGTAACAATTACAATGCTTATAAACTGGATAAGCGTGAATAACATTATCCAGCAAGAAAAAACCGACTGTGAATATTCCAAATGTAGTCAACGTCGTGTGGCCGAGTTTATTGTTTTTGTAGTACTTTTCAAGATTCTTTGCGACCTATTTCGACAGCAAATTCCTTAAAATGATTTGGTGTTGTTCCGTCAAACTAAGTAAACTACGAATTAAATTACTAACCTATGTTTGAACACTGAATATTCATAAAATATTCTACTACTCGAACAGAAATGGTTACTATAAATTACTCGTTTAATGTGAATGATCACAGCTTCATTGCAAATTTAAAACCAAGGTTTGTCAAGAAAAAAATTTTTGTACATTGCACCCTAAACAATGGTTGTTTGTTAGCAAAATCTAGTTTATTCTAAAATGTTTCTCTATTTTCCAGAAACATTTTCATTTTACAGCATGTATCATGTAGCCTAAATCTATTCTTCCTAAATATAGCAACATCAGAAAGAAGTTTATTTTTTCATACTTCCCTCAGGTTCCCCAAATACAAAATTAAAAATACATGCAAATACCCTACATAAAAATAATGTTCTACACACCTGCTTTTCATATTCGATCTCAAATACTTTTGAAAAAGTGATCTTTAAAACTGAGCATTAGTCCTATACACGTGGGGCAGTGGAGACTATGTCTTTACTTACACCATATTGTTATTTTAAATAAACATGTTTCTTATTTTGCTGATGGGTATTACTGGTTGCCTAAATCTGACGAGCTTCAGTAAAACCTTTCTTGAGTTCATTAATATGATTTTTGAACATGATATGTTTAATGTGACCCAGCAGAAAATGGAAGAAAGAAACGGGTCTGGGAATCTAGGAGACCAAAAACCAACCGATTTCAAGCGTTCCTCAAAATATTCTTCAAGGTCCGTGATTGTTGCCTTATACTTAAAATTTAAAAAATTACCAGCCAGTATTTCGACAATGAGGAGTCTATGGAATTTGGGTTACAGACTTAACTAACCCAAATAATCATCTACAGTCCCAAACTGTTCAAAACAGTGAAAAATCTAACCTCCAATCCGCCCTTAATTATCCCCCAGATTAATTTCGCAAATCAATATCGCTAAAATGTCACTCACATCCCTCAACATCACATTTTAATCGACTTGCCAAAACGCACCCCGCATTTTCGCCGTCCACCAAAAGAAGCGATTATCGCACACATGCCTCGCATACTTTCTCTTCTTCGACGCGATTAAAACAAAAACAAAAATAATGCAAACGCTATTCCATTGCAGGAGTTCAACGTAGCGAAAGAACAACACATCATCCAGCCTCCCCAAAACGCCTCAGCTCAAGCATTAACTGCTGAATTAATGAAAATGCCGTTGGAGCTGTGTTCGGCACCTCAGGGTTCCCACGCGCTGCAGCACCAATCCAAATCGTATCCCGGAGGACAACCACTTCTGTGCAGGACGCCGAGTGTTTCATCGCAGAGTAGTTTGGATAGCAGTGCGTCGAGACAGGTAAAGGGAAATTAAACGTTTTACACTGTTATTTTGTAAAATGTATGTTGGAGGACCAGCATCTGCGTCAAGGGCTCTGCTCTTGAGTTTGAGATTTTCTAGAGATGTTGCGTTCATTATTATTTAAAAAAAAAATAATCAATGATGAAACTAATAATTATGAAACGTAACATCGTTCGAAATTTCAATGAATAGGGAACCTTGAGTTTTTCTTCTGAAAAGTTTTCAAACTGCGTTATGTAACACCAAAACATGTCTCTCTTATAATACGATACAAAGTCCGTATGTTTTTTGTTCGATATCATAATCGTTTTCAAATGATGAGTTGGAAGATAATTTAATGGCAGCAGTTTAGAGTTTTTATCTTCGACTTAAATGATAAATGTTTTTGATCGAATATTTTAGTAGACTTGACTCGATTATGAAACTGCTATAATGGAAAAAATAACGTAGCAAATCAAAAAGTATCTATAATGTTCCCAGTTAGTGTTAATAAAGAAAGTTTTGAACTGTCACCTCAGCACAACTAAAAATAATAACAATGTTGCAACTTTGTCTCATAAAATATTGAAAATGTCTTGGATTAGTGCCTTTATTTTAGTCGGACATTCTACCCTTCTGTATCTGGGTATTTAAAATAAAATTCAAAATAGTACAATAAAATTCTTGAATATATCTTATAACCCACAAAACCGATTTTACTTTGGAATTTTTCAGACGGTCTTAAGTTTATCGTGAACATGTTAAACCGAAAACCACAAAATATCTGTTTATCCGTTCCACAAATTTGATAACATCAAGACTTTACAACCAACTTTATTGATAAAAACGAAAAATAATGATTAAACAACGTTTATTTATGCTATGAAGGTAACAAGAAGTCAATACATTTTGTGTACATTAGTTTTAAGTGTTACAATATGTGTGACATCTGGAAACTTTTTTAGTTATTAGCAACATTTTTCAATAAACAAAGAAGTAAATCAATACCAACAAATTATTTAAAATCGTTACAATAAATACAAAACCGATGTTGTATATCTTCCCACTTTTGGAACAGCTACTATTTAGAGCACAAGTAACATTGTCGTATTGTGGACAATTTGCAGCATTCAGGAAAATATTATACTTCAGTGCCCATTGCACCATATTTTTCATAGTTTCTAAGTCAATTCTATCACAATCAATCGCAAAATATCCTATGTCACACTTTTCGTCGCAAAGCAAACCTGGAATTTTTTTTATAGGATTCACATGCAGAAAAATACTAAAAAAATGGTAGGAATAATTAAAAAGCGCCGGTGGTAAGATTTCTATAAAATTGCGTGACAAATCCAATGAGATGTCTGCAAAACCGTCAGCTATTCCATCAAAGGCTTTTTCGCTTATGTCGGTTATGTTATTACGTTGGAAATCCAAAATAAGTAATGTGTTAGATTCCAAAAATGCCAAAAATTTTTCTTGAAGGGATTTAATTCTGTTCCTGTCCACATTCAAATTTACAAGTTTAGGGGTGTGCGTAAAGGCACCAGAATTGAATTTTTGCAAGTGATTACTTGAAAGCAATACGTCCCTTAAATTTGATAAATTCGCAAAAGCGTTGTCCTCTATTCTAGTGATAAAATTATTTTGTAAATTAATACTCACTACACCGATGTGAATAAAGGTGCCTGTTTGTATCACTTTAAGTTCGTTGTCTGCCAGATTTATATGATCGACATTTTGCAGCTGCTGAGAAAAACACTCTTCTTTGATCGCTTGAATTCCACATTGATTCAAAATTAGATTATTTACTTTATGCTGAAAATCAAATGCATCACAAGGTAATTTGCGCACACTTATTTTAGAAACTGAAAGGATATATACGTCGTTCGGAGTTTCAATGAATTGAGCGTCATCAGTTCTTCTTTCTGTCAAATTTTCAAACTGCATTGTATAATTCACACTGAGCGGTTCTGAATTCACTTGTAGAACGTTGCATATCAAAAGATAATTCAAAAATTTGCTCCAGAACATTTCTGTCTTGTAATCTACACTTTACGCGATACAACGTCCATATGCTTTCCTTTTTTTACTGGAACTAACGAATTCGTAATCGTTTTCAAATGATGGGTAGCAAGTTAATGTTATAAGTTTTTTATCTTTGGCTTTCGTGATAGATGTTTTTTGATGGAATGTTTTGGTAAAGTGAACTCGATTGTGAAATCGGTATAATCGAAAAAAAAAGTTTGTTACAAGGTAGACTTAGCATATATGAAATTATCTACAATGCTCTCAACTAATGGAAAACTTATTCCACAAAAAATCATTTCGTGAAAATAAACCTAAAGGAAATAGGGAACTGTCACTGTAACACTAGTAAGAACAGTAATAATGTTGCAACTTTTTCTCATAAAGCAGTGTTAAAAGGGAAACGCCTTGATTTGGTGAGTTTATTTTAAACCGACATTTTTATTTAGTTAGCATACAAGGATTGTACATACAGATAGATTCTGCTTGAATCACCTAATGGCATGTTTTTCTGTCAAGAATGCTTTCCTTTTTTTGTAATCACTTCCATTTGGTCTCGTTTTTTTTTTCCTAATAAATTTCAATAGTTTGTCTAAATTTTGTATGGTTACTTTCTTCTTTTGCTGTTCTGGTTTAACATATAATAATTTATGCTATTTTTACTTCCAAAGCCTAAAGTAGGGGTTGTAAAATGATATTTTTGACGAATAAATAATTTCTTGTTTCATGATTCGTACAATATGAAGAAGTAAATCTTCCAATTGTGCCTAGTTGTGGTTTATGGTGTATCGTCTATCGGTCTTTTGTTGGAGATTTTGTTAAACAGACGATCTCCAAAACTACTGGACTGGTTGTTGTAAAATATTGAATGACTACATAATAATCCTTCAATTTCAAAAGCAATGTCTGCACTTTTATTAAAATTTCTTCACCCGTTGCCCTCTTTTCAAAAGTAGTTGCTGATTTCTAACAATTAGGTAATTTAATTTATTTTAATTTGTATTCTAAATTTTGCTTGCGTTCAATGCAAAAAAAAATAATAAATTTAATGGAATTGCAGTTAATTCTGAAAACAGAGCAATTTTACTAATCAAAACGAAAAATAATCTTCACACAACATTTATTTAAGTAATACAGCAAAACAACACACTTTGTGTACGTTAATTTTTAAAGGTTACAATATGTGTCACAAAACTTCGAAACTTGTTTTAATTCTTATCAACATTTTTCATTAAACAAAGAAGTAAATCGATACAAACCAAATCGTTAAAAGCGTTACAATAGACAAAAAACCGTTGTTGTATTTCTTCTCACTTTTAGAACAACCATCATCTGGAGAACAAGTAACACTGTCGTATCGTGGACAATTTTCAGTATTCATGCTAATATGGTTCGTCAGGGCCCATTGCACCATATTTTTCAGAGTTTCTATATCAACTCTGTCACAAGCAAACGCAAAACTATCTATGTCACACTTATCGTCGCAAAGTAAACCTGGAATTTTTTTGATGGGATTCGCAGTTAGAAAAATATTTAAAAAATGATAGCCGTAATTAAACATTCCCGGTGGTAAAATTTCAATAGAATTCCATGACAAATCCAACGTGATGCTTTCAAAACCATCACCTATTCCGTCAAAGGCTTTATCACTTATGTCGGTGATGTTGTTATAGCGGAAATTCAAAAGGAGTAATGTACTGTTAGATTGCAAAAATGCCAAAAATTTTTCTTGAAGGGATTTAATTCTGTTTGAATCAACAAACAAAGTTGCAAGTTTCGGAGTGTACGTAAAGGCGCCAGAATTGAATTCTTGCAAATGGTTGTTTGAAAGCACTAATTCCCTTAAATTTGATAAATTCGTAAAAGCGTTATCCTCTATTGTAGCGATAAAATTGTTTTCTAAATTAATTCCTGCAATATCAATGTCAATGAAAGTGCCTGCTCTTATCACTGTAAGGTCATTTTTTGCCATATTTATGTGATCAACATTTTTTAGCTGCTGAGAAAAGCAATCTTCTGTAACCTCTTGAATTCCACATTTATTCAAAATAAGATAATTTACTTTATACTGAAAATCAAATATGTTACAAGGTAATTTGGACACAGTTATTCTCAAAATCGATAAGAGGTCTACGTCGTTCGGAATTTCAATAAGCTGAGAATCATCAATTTTTCTTTTTGTCAAGTTTTCAAACCGCATTGTGTAACTCACACTGAGCGGCTCTGAATTCACTTGTAAAAAATGGAACAACAAAAGATAATTCAAAAACTTGTTCCAAGACATTCTCGACTTGTAATGTGCACTTCACAAAATACAACGCCGATGTGCTTTTCTCGTACGGCTAGAATTAACGATATGGTAATGGTTTTCAAATGATGGATTGCAAGATAATTTAATGATGTAAAGTTTAAGTTTTTGTCTTCAGCTTACGTTATATAAGTTTTCTGATGAAATATTCTGGGTTATAAAATTTTGCAATTAAAAAAAAAGTTTTGTAACAAGTGGTATAATTTAGAAGAAAAGTTATTTCACATCAGGTGATCATGACATTTTTTACAAATTTTCATATCCCTTTTGGATTTCTGGTAATAATACGATACAAGCAATATTTTCCACCTCACCAACACTGAGTAATTGTATTAAAAAAAAAATGTACTCAATTATATATATATTACTCTTATGTTTATTAAATTAAATTCTTTTTGTATAGCAAATTCAGTGTCCCTTTTTATTAGCACGCTAAAACGAAAAATATTCCAGAACCTTCTTACGACCGACCGTGACCAAAGCTTTTAAGCTTCTCTACCTTTCAGGGCCACCGTGGCTCCTCTCCACAGATCCGCACCTTCGCCCCCGACGGCAAAACACCAGTCCACCAGGAAGCCATCCACACTTCTAGCTACCCCCTCCGCAACCAGAGTCGCTCTCCCTCGCCTCTCCGCGCCGCCTCCCTCGACATCCGCTGTTCGTCCCCCGGAACGTCCACCATCAGCGGCGAGGAGATCCGCACCCCCTCGCCGTCCCAATCTAGTCTGGCCTCCTTGACCGGGACGTCGGTCAGTTCGTGCAACTCACCGATTCCGCCGTCACCGAGGACCGTAGGCCTAGGACGCTGTCTGTCACCACTACTGATACCGTCGACCAGGTCACACACCCCGGAAGTGAACGTGGCCGCACCCCCGGCGAGTCCTCTGGGGGCGATACAGCCGGATCTGTACCTGAGGAAGGACGGGCCGCTGTTCATCGGGAGCAGCCCGAAAGGGGGGCCGAGTTTGGGGAGGCTGCATTTTCGGCTGAAGTATGATTTTGATAGGAGCGACTTGGTGGTACATTTAATAGAAGGTAATTATATTACTGATTAATAAATCAACTAAGAAAGGTTGGTGGTTAAAACTAAAAGTCTAAAGGTTACAGTTCTGAATCGAAAAATTGTAATAATTTTCTAAAATTTTATCGTTATATTGTTTAGACTTTCTTCCTTCTTTCTTTATATTTCTTTCCTACTTTGTCTTGTGGTTTCTCAGGACATCTTTACTGGTTTTATTCGATTAGTAAATTTTCCATCAATTTTGTCTTGTCATTTTAATTTTTGTATTTTCGCATTCATTTTGTCGCCATTTGTCACATCTTTTTTTTTCCACATTCGTTTATTTTCGCCACATAATAAAATAAAACTAAATGTTTCGTTAATATTTGGAAGATATTTAAACTTTAAAAAATATATATCCCTGAAAAAAATGAAGATAACAGAACAGGACTGTTACTGGTACAACTCAGACTTCATATGGGTGTCAATCGGAAGCATCCAAAAACATAAATCAAAAGTCATGCCCCAGTTGATAGTTTCATATGGAACGTCCTAATATGGATATCTGTTAGACTGGACTCGAACATTTAACGCGTTTATGGCTTCACACCAAATTTGACTCCTATTATAATTCAATAGGCCGTCACAGCCGGATGTCTTAAACCCGCTCACCGATACCTACCTGAAAAGACCTGTTCTGGTAAAAGCACAAGGCAAGACTGTACTGGTCTTCTTCTTTTGTGGAATGTCGTACACAATTGGCCCACGTTTCGGCAGTTATTTTGGAAGCTTCTTCCCTAATTGTGTCAATTGTTGCACTACTAAATTTTGGTAATCTTAATAATATTTTCAAATGTGCAGAATAATGATTAAATAATTAACGTACGGAAGAAACATTAAAAACAAAATTACTCTTAGTCCAGTCCTTCGCGTCTCGGCCGTCTCTGGCACGTGGCATGGTTTACATTTACTAAATTTTATGAAAGGTCGGCTGTACAGTACTTTAAACGTCAAAGCCATAAAGGCCTTAAATGTTTGTGCCCAGTCTACCGACAATCTGTATAATTAGGTATTCTATACAATACCTAGGCAATGTATAGAATGCCTAAAACGTTAAGGTAATGTATGAAATATTATTCATTTTATACTTTGCCTAGGTATTCTATACAATGCCGCATGCGCAGCCGGTAATGTATGTAAAAGACGAGAGTAGGTAAGTGTGAGATACGCGAGGAGACAGTTGAAAGTATGATTTTATGCACTTCAAAATGTCACAATAGTTCTTTATGTAAGAATAAATAATTATTTTTTTTACTTACTCCATTCTGAGAAGCCAGTAGATCTATTTCTTATTTTTATAGAACTGTTTTGTTTCCTAAGTTGTTAATACTTGGTAGGTACCTACCTGATTATTTTTGAGAAACATTTTATTATTTTAGCTTACCTGGAAGAATTTTGAGTTTAACGTGATTTATTTAAGTATAAAAATTGTTTTATTTTACACATTACCGATGGACCACCAGGTACTCTATACAATCCCTAGGAATTGTATACATTACCTAGGCAAAGTATGTAATGGATAATCATATTCGTAATATTTCGTACATTGCCTAGAGGCCCCCGATATTCTACACTTTACCTAGGTACTGTATAAAATACCTGAATTATCCAGATTGCCGGTAACACATCCAATGTTCAAATAAATTCTGACTTTAATATTGACGTCTACCTACTTCATATTTTCAAAAAAAAAAAAACTCTCAATCTTCTAAATTGTCATCCTCAAGTGGACACGTGTTGCACGTAAGAAGAAGTAAACAAACAAAAAATAAATTTTAAACATTACCGCAAAAAATTGCTGGGTCAGAAAAAAGAGTTCATATTAGAAAAACAAAACAATTTTTTAACAAACTCCGGGATATATAAACTTCATGAAGTCGGACGATTCAGGAAAATTACGAACTATTTGCATAGACTACATGCAAAATTTCCAACCACCTTCTTTGCAAGTTCAAGAGATTTTCTACTTAAAGCAGCTGGCTGCAGACGTGCTTTGCATCCACAATTTAAAGGATTATAGAGCTGCTTTTATAATTTATCATGAAGTTCCTCTACGACAACGACAAATAAAATATGTTCTTTCATATTCTATTACTTGAAGACACATGTGAAACATGTGGAAACATTGCACATGTTTTTTTATGGTTGTATATAGTACACAAAATAAACATCATAGCGTCTTACGTATATTTAGTCTCATGGTAAGGCTCCGCCATTTCAAAAAAAGTTTATCAGTATTTTACAACCGTTCATAGAATATTTCGAAGAACTGGTAGTATTTTCACAGGGAGAAAACGTGCTGATTTTATTACTTATATTACCCTTTAGAAATAATTGTAAAGTAAATCATCCTCAGACTGACAAAAATGATTGATTATAAGTCGTTATAGTCCAAATATTACTAAAAAAACGTGTATTCTCGAGAGGCTGTTGACTCCCTAAATATAAAAAGAAAGTTTGAAGATTATTATTTTATAGGAAAAGCCTACGTTCAAATCCTGTGGATAATGTTCGTGTTAATTTTAGGTCCCTTACTGTTTTATTTTTTGATAAATTCAAAGAAATCTTGTGTTTTGTTGCTAGATCAACTTAAAAAAAACTTTTAAGCTTTTACTGTTTAATTTCTTAAGAATTTCAAAAAGTCTTGAGTGCCGCAGTGTTTTTCTTTTAATTCTGGAGACTCTGGGGTACCCATGGTGTATTATTTTGACAGCCCATGGAGATTCTTTTTATAAATTATTTAAAACAATTTTGAGGGACTTTGGTATACTATTTTTGGAAAATTCTGACCTGACCTGTTTTTGAGCTAATTTTGGGACCCCGTTTTTTCTTTTTAGAAAAATTTAAAACAGTCTTGAGGTTCTACGTATTCCTGTTTGGAAAGAATTTTAATGAAAGTGCTTTGGAGCCTCTAGTGCCTTTCCTTATAATGATATAAGTTTCTTACAGGCTACATCATTTGCTAAAGTCACTCTTATCTTAACAAGTACTAGCTCCACCCACCCGCCCTCTCTTTTCCTAAAGGATATGTCATTTGTGAAAATCAGTCTTATCCTAGCAAGTACTAACCCCGCCCACCTACCCTGGCAAATGACATATCCTCTAAAAAAAGAGAGCGTGGGTGGGCAGAGCTAGTACCTGCTAGGATAAGACTGATTTTTAGCAAATGAGATCCCTCTAAGAAAATGAAGGCGGGTGGGCGGGGCTAATAGTTGCTAAATCAGTTTATTTTGTTTATTGTCCTAAAAAAATAAAAGGTGGATTTCAGTCACCCTAGTTACTAAGAAATCAGAAAGTAAGCCGGAGGTATTTACGCGTTAGGTGCGTACAATGTTGACAATTTTACTTTTATAAAATTATGTTTTTTTCGTAATCTACATCATAAAGAATTTTTTTATTATGTTTTTGGGACTGCCGAAACCCCCGTACATAACGTACTGATGAGTTAATCTACCATTTTCCAGACACCCGGTATATAACACTAATTATTTTGTGCTTAAAGGAAGGCAGAACAAACTGAACATAATTATACAAACAAAAGAACATTGCCAAAGATTTAACTACAAAAAATGGAAAACATTTCGTTTTTGCTTTAATATGTAACCATAACACTGAAATTTCAACACAATTCTGTAATGAACTTTTATGATTTTATTACCATACAGTTCAAACCTTGCAGATGGTACACTTTACCCCACAGGAGTGTGAAAACTGAACTATCTATATGGGCAAAGTGGTCATGTTCTTCTAAATTATACTTTTAATTTCAGATAAATATATTATTGACAGTGTAAGTGTCTTTAACTTCACATATATAATTTCATTCTATTGTTTTCTGATTGAACATAACAGTTTAGAAACCATTTTTCGTATCCGTTTCTAGTGTTCTGCAAACTGAAAGGAATATTTTCCACAATTATATGGAGTTCGGAAATATCTGCTAGAATATTTTGATATGGGATTATTGTTTAATATTTAGTTAGCTGGGCAAACGTGCCTATTTAAAGGTACAATCCCACAGAGATCCTTTGTCCCCATGAGTTACTTTTTCTTCTTGACTTTTACCCCTTTCTGATGAAATTTTGGAAAATTCATTTGATACATCGTCTACATACATTGTCGACGCTCCTGGAGAAATGTGTCCATAAATTCAGTTAACAAGTCAAAAAATTTATTCACGGCTACTGTATTAAAAGCACCATTCTAGCAAAGACGTATTTTAGGCACTTTCTGGTGGAATTTCTTATTAAAAATCCACATAACCAATCTTTACCCATTAGACCTTGGAATTTTTTGAAGTTGTAAATAACTTACTAATCGTAATAAGTAAATTCGTGTAAATTCGGTCAAGGTGAGACAAAAAAATTTCCGATAAACGACACCTTAATTTTTTCTTATTTTTAATAAATATTGTTATAATAAGTCCTCCAAGTTTTCTATTTGCTGTATTTTTCTTTTTAAATCTTCTCATCAGTAGATATATTCCTTGCTATGTTACAAATCTGAAGATTACCTACAAGATATTTCTTTATAAAATACAATATATAAAGGTTTATTATAAACGGTTTATTACGTTTATTTAAGAAATTCAAGATAAGCCCTTAACACTTCATTAATAATAATTCTTAAACAAAAATAAGTGCTCAATTTGAAGACAGCATAAGTCCACATCACAAAATTTACGACAAATTAGTCTATCAATATCAACTAATTATTTTTACACTACTGGAAAATATTTAACTAAATGCTTAACTCTCTGCAATCACCGAGATTTTTATGACAGTTGTGATAGAAATGATTTTATATTTTTACGTCTTCTATATTTTACGAGGACTGTGTTGTGATAAAAAATATTTTTACAAATAAAATTTTATTGAAAAGTATTATGGCAAAATCCCGTCATTCTACGAAAGTATTTCCACAAATTAAAATACTTTAGAACGTGCGTCTATTATTATTTGTTCAAAAAGACCACTCAACCGGCAACATTGTCTACGGAGATTTTTGGTCCCAAGATGTGCTGTGAAGTTAGGATGATTATGGTTAGTATTCAAAACATGTTGTTTTTGTTTATTTTATTTTGACATTTTTGTCATGAAATTTCAAATTTAATTTTTTTTGTACTACCAACTTGCCACTGTAAAAAAAAGCCCTAGACATTAATGAGCTTTATCCGGTACCAACTTAGTTCAACAGGTGATAGTTTTTTAATATTTGAATTATAGTCCCTAGACATATGAAATACCACAATCCATTGTACCAATGTATTGAAAAGAGATGGTACGACTTTTGCTCAAAAATGGCGACGACATGTCAGCTGATCTGTAAAATGTCAGGTATCGTCGACGAATTTGGCGTGCTTAGTCAGTTATCATTGTTTCGTGAATAAATCTCATTAAAAAATTGGTTTTAATTAATTGCTTTACAAAAATGTTCGGTTGTTGTACAAGGTTTCTACAAATTATTATAAGGTCGAAGCAGGTCATGAAAACGTGCCGCCTCTTAGTTCTCGACTTTATTAAATGCCCAAGGACGCAAGACAAAACGCATTGCCCAAATGCTTCATATCTTATTAAAAATAAAAGTAATTCATTACAACATAAAAGAAACAAATTTATTGCGGTTAAACATCACAGCAAATGTTGAAAATGTTCACCATTTTGTTCAAGACACATGTTCACCCTCTTTTTGATTTCAAAATACCGAAGCCAATACCCATTATTCAATTTCATGTTGCAACAGAAACTCCTGACCGCTGAGGAAATCTTGTCAAAGATGTGGATTCTGCCCAAGTGGTCTCAAATCATCAACAACTTTCTCACATACTGAAGATCTTCCAGGAGATTTCCCTTTGTCGACACTGCCAGTTCGAACAAATCTGTTAGTTACATCTCTAATGTGAACCTCTAACGATGTTTCTTGAATTATTAAATACGATAGCAAGATATAGCAATGAAAGTGTCTTGTTCAACAGACTAAACCACTTTCACGATCTTCGCTTCCTACCACAAAAACAAAATTTTCGTACGCAAGCACCAACACTTTTGAAAACGACTGTTTTTTTTTTTGGTTGTTTTGAGCTTGGATCAACGAGAATTAGTGTAAGTCACACTTGAAAAGTGTTAAAATAATAAAAACGATAACTTTAAATGACAGGTTACAAATGACTTTAATGACAAGCGGGAACTATCACATAATGAGGCATAGTTTCAGCAAAGCGGGATTTTTGAAATCCATGGCCAACCTACGTCCTTAGAATAATTTATAAAAACCCTATATATTTTGATGTAAAAGCAATAGTGCAATGGGTGTAAGACTATTTTGTTTACCAAGTGATGAGAGAAATATATAAATATGTAAAAAATACTCTATATAATATTTAATATCTCATCGTCGTATTCTCCAATACTAAACCTGCACTATTTATTAATTCAATTCAATTTTCTATAATTCACAGTTGTAATAAATGTAGATAAAAAATAACTATGCATAGAAACACGATAGAAATCAATTCTTGTGATATGATACACCCTAATCCAATGAAACTGTGAATGTCTAACAATTACATTAATTACATTTTATGCAATCTGAATTTCAACTGACGGTTTCTGAAATAGAATTATTTAATCTGAATTTCAGTCGATGCCTTTTGAAATACAACTGATTAAACTCAATTATATCTGAATTTAGATAATCTGAAGTCAACTTCATCTTTTCTAAAATACAATTGGAATGGTAGAGCCCAATTTCAAGTTGAAATCTTACTGTTGTTAAATTGAATAGCAATCAAAACTGTAATATTTTAAAGTTGGCAGATAGTTTTGCCCGAAAATGGCGGATGATTGCGGTACTTTATATATCTAGGGACTTTTTTTTTAATAAACAGCAAAATGGGCGGCACAATCCTGTCCATCAATCAGGTGTATGGGTGTATTCGCCCTTCTCTTGATATTTTGGTGCGGTAATGTTTTTAAATATTTTGATTTTATTTTTGAAATATCTTTTCTGTCAAATTTTTTCAAATAGATTTTGTGAGTTTCTGAATATTGTAATTTAGTTGTACGTAACTTCTATCTACAAAATGGTGGATGCGCCGGGCTAGTGATATTTTCATATTTGGGGGCGACAACGAAACAGTAATATATGTCCCAAATTGAATTCCTATCAGTGTCAATTTTTTTCAGAAATGTCACTTAGGTACTGGCAACAAAAAAATTGTACATACTCAAACTCAAGAAACAGTTTGTAATGCTTATATATAACTACATGCCACGAATTTTTTCCGGCGAAACCGTAGCGAAGAGCATAGAACAATTGTTCGAGTACACAAAAATATCTACCCACAAGTCAAAAAACACAAAACATGGCAGAACAAGAATATAACGCCAGTTATTGGTTCACAAAAAAAAAAAACACAAAAAATGTACCATTACTAATTTGGCAGATAATGAATGAAATGATTGTAGAAACATTATATCCAATTTTCAATTTAGTAAAGGATGTCGAGTAACAGCAAAACATTTAAATCAGAAATTAAAAAAATTATCTTGGAATTGAAGGTAGTAATAACTCGTCATTTCGACAGAAAAGTTTTGCTTGAACCTAATGAAAGTTTATTATTACTCAAGTGACTGGCTACCTATTTTATTTTTAGATGAAACTTGTATTCATGCAGGTCACAATAGCTCAAAATGTTGGACTGATGGCTCCTCAAAAAATCATTTGGCCCAGATTTCAAAAGGCTATTGTTGGGAGTAAAAACTATGACTATCACGATTATATAAACTCCGGAAATTACGGCAGGTGGTTAAATGATAAATGAATTCCTAAGTTGCTGCCCAATAGAGTGATAGTGACTGATAATGCATTTCTTCACAATGTATCGCTACACAGTGTCCCAACATCTAATTGGAAATGACAAACTGGCTTAACAAAAAATATACCATGTGATTCGAACAATTTTAACATTGCACTTCATGAAATTATTAGAAGACCCACAAAATTGCAGTATTTGTTAATCTTCATTTTTAATAATTTCTTAAAACTCCTATAAATTATCCCCATTTATAACGTTTATAGAAAAAATGACCAAAACAGTTCCATTTTATGACCAAAACAGTCCCATTTTATGACATTCATCAACGTCTTTTCATCATCAGAAAATATCTCTACCACAGTAAATGCAAAACAGTACAGACCCAAACTCTCATGTCAATTAATGAATTATTATGTCTAAAGTCCAAAACCCCCTTACGTTTAAAACACCACGCAAAAAACAAAAACCCACCCCGCACTCAACCACCACTCCAAATAAAACTTCCTCAAACACGAACGCTCATAAATATTCGATCTCTGCTCCTCTCCTCCAGCTCACGACCTAGCCGGAAGCGACCAAGGAGGCTTCAACGACCCCTACGTGCGCCTAGCACTGTCACCGGAAGTGGATTCGCGTAAACGTCAAACGACGATCCGTCGCAACGACCCGAACCCGTTCTTCGACCAGCACTTCAAGTTCCCGATTAGCCACGAGGATCTGCAGTCCAAGATGCTCATCCTGCAAGTGTTCGACTACGACAGGTTTTCTAGGAACGACGTCATCGGAGAAGTGAGGATGAGCATGGACGAGTTCGACGTCACGTCGAGTATCGAGGTGTGGGGCGAGATCACCAAGAACAAGAAGCCGCCAGAGGAACTGCAGGAGGTGCTAGTGTCCTTGAGTTACCTGCCGTCGGCGGAGAGGCTGACGGTGGTGTTACTGAAGGCGAGGAACTTGTTCTTGCCGCAGGAGAAGGATAGTGTAGGTGAGAGAGAATAATTTCTTTGATATTTATTTATTGAAAACTACCATAACGTGGTTGTGTTAAAATCTGAATACATTCTGGTGTTTTGGGTCTTAGAAATCTCGGAGTACATCGTAAATACATAATATAGTATATCCAAAAACCAAAATCTCAGTTAAGCGTTGTCAGTGTTCCAAATACTTAAAAATTCATTCCCTTGGCTCTAACATTAAAGAGTCAACATCGAACAAAAACAAAAGGAACATGTCAGCTAAGTTTCCAAATTTTTTCTATTCAAATTAACTAGCTGATGTTATTTTTGAAAAACGACACCCGTCTCTTTCGTCTTGCAATTTCGCTACAGCAACTACAGTCATTATTATGTTATGCAAGGAAAAAATTGTCCAATAATGACTGCGTGTTGCTTTTTCTGTTGAATACACCCACCTTTGAAAAGCCCTTAAAATTTTGCTACGCCAAACTAACAAAATAACGACTGACATTGTATTCCCTAACGCACACGATCTAAAATTTTCTGCAATTTAAAAGAACACCATAACAAATTTCCGCCAATTACACATCGAAATAGACGCAACCTTTGAACTTTCTTTACTTCGCACCTTAGTGCGCCGCCTTTTCATGCAAATAATTAATTCAACACTTTTCACGGCAAACACTGCAATGCAATTTCCTTTAATGATAAGACAAAGCGGATTCTGTTTTCTCATGATATTCGTCGCAGTTTTCTTGCTCGCTGCCTCCTCCTAAATAAAATACATACCGCCACCCCGTGGGTTTGTTTTGTACACATCATTAAATGTCAGTCTTTCTTTCAAATATTTGCTTTTCAGATCCATTCGTTAAAGTGTATCTTCTCGTTAACGGCAAGCGAATAAAGAAGAAGAAAACAGCCGCAAGGAAAGGTAGCTGCAATCCAGTGTGGAACGAAGCACTGACCTTCAGCCTGTCGGCATCAAACGTTGCCAATGCTGCCATTGAGGTAAACATTTTTTGTAAAAGATTCGAACTTATTTTAACACTTTGTATCTGTAAGTTAAACCTAAAGCGGAAAGGCAAATGTGCTTCCGAATTCTTAAAAGAGTATTTGTACTCGTGTCAGACAAGCAGGAAGGATTAATAGACGGAATAAGGAAAGCTGTGATAAAAGGATGTTATACATTGCGGAGATATGTCTTTGAGGTAGAAAAACGTAAGGTTATCAGCCACTTTCGCCGTAAAACACCGACAGACAACAGGTGGGCTATAGATCACTTAAAAGACTGCAAACATTACCGTAATGTTCAATAATTTTTTTACTCTCCAGAAGCTACTACCAAAAGCATTTTTCTTAGAATCTCGATTTGCGTCAAATCTCGCCTTGTAATCGCTGAAGGTCCCATTCCGGCAGTTTCATCCCCAACTTTTCTTTATCTTCAGCTAATTTAGTGCTAAACGATCGATTAAACGCTTTCCGACGCCCACCCCTTGATTAATCTATTTTTAAGTTAATTGAAAATTTTTGATAGTTAATTTGTAATTGTGACGAGGGATATTCAGAGCCGGCAAAAGCTGCCGACGTCACTAACACAAATTTGATTTTTCTTTGAAGCAAAAGATGTGTCACTCTTCGCCCCATCCTACGCAAATATCGGAGGAGAAGTGGATCAATCCCGCTAGTTTTCGTGTATGGGATTTTCTGACGGCCTTTTAGATGTAATATATCAAATCTGGAGACTTGAGAAGTGATATAATTGGTTTAGACAGCCTGATAAATCCCGCACATTTTACGATAAACGCTAGAGAGTAGCAAGAAGTGGAGCGTACATCAACATATAAACGATATCTTCGTTATTTTATCAAGTTTTATTATGATACTTGTTATTTAAAAATGCTTAACGTCGAAAGTTAAATATTATTACAAAGACAAATAACAGTGAAAGTTCGGAACAGAAAACATTGTCATAGGTTATAATAAAATCACTGAGCAGAAGCAATGATCCCGTAAATAGCCTACGCTGAAGATCCATTCTTTGTTAATATAATGAATCAAAGTATTCTGACATGTTAAACATCTAAGAATTTGAGGAATTTGCACATTATTTAAATAATTTTCTAAATAATAGAGATTAATTCTTAAAAAAACAATTACTTTACTTTGTCCTAAGCCTATTTACCCTTGGTGGTGTGGTTGAGTTATTATCTTGGTTTCCTATGCCTCTGTTTTATGGTTGCCTGCATATCTCGTTCCACTGAATGTCTCTTTTCAGCAGCCACAACTTCTTCTGTCCACATTTATCTTGGTCTTCCTCTTCGTTCTGCTAATTGTATTTTTCCCCTAATTAACTTTTCTTCGAACTGAACTCTCTTGCCCCATTTTTATTGCAAGTCCCAGACATTTTAGTTGTTTCTCTTATATTAAAGTTTGTACTTGGTGAAGTACTAGTTTTTCTCTGAACGCGGTGTTATTTATTTTCCTTTCGATTTTTTTGAGGAACCTCATCTCGACGCTTTGCACCTCAAGAAAAGTTTGTGGTTCCCCTAGTAACCTGTGTTCCTGTTTTTCTTCGAATTCGATCTAACTTTTTTTTTATTAATGTTTTAACTTTATTTCTTTCGTTCTTACATACTACGTAATATTGTTAGCTTTTTGTTTCTAAATAGGTATATTTTAAATTTTTTATTGTATGATTCCACCAGTGACTCCTTTTTTGCTTCCTATTTGAAATTTGTATTGTTCCATAAACTTTTTAGCTGCTGCGAGTAAATACTGCTTTTTTTATTTCTTTTTTTTTAATCTTCAAAAGCTATATTTTTCTTCTTTCTTGTCATCTTCATTTCACCCATACACAACTATTAGTAGGTAGTCCTCCTGTCCTTCCTTGATGGTAACTGGCAATCTCCTTTCTCTTACGAACCTCTCGTTTTTGACGTTAATCATTTTTTCTCCCTTGGTTAATTAGTACCACTCCAGTTCTCACATGCTTACTCTAGACCATATTATCCAATAACCATTACTATTCCGTTATCCCTTTTCCTTTCTTTTTCATCTGTGTTATTCCCATGTAGTCTAGATTCACCAGTTGTTCTTCTTTAGGTACTTTTTGTATTCCATTTTTCTGTTTTAATGTTTGATTAATTATTATTAATTTATTAATTGTTATGAGTTTTCGTTCGATACCTTTATACATCCGTTTCCTCTGTTTTTCGTCTCGTTTATTCCATTTTTCTTTGCCTAGTCATTATCGTCGGTTGTCATTATCACTTCTGCGATAACACAAACATCCCGCTTTAAATTGACATGTGAAAAAAAAATTGAAAGTCTGCGAAAAATTCAAAAATTTGGTCTTAGCCTTGATAACAATCAGACAAAATGAAACCTATGTTGGGTGTTTTTTCTGTGGTAGAATGCGTTCAGATGCTAGTGGTGGACCCCAAGATTCGAAAAATACCGCTAAATAAAACACAAAATATATGGAGGAGACAAAATTATTTATTCCTCCACTGACAAAAAAAGAAAAAAAAGCTGTGACTAAGTTGTGTCAGTTGAAGGCACCGCTTAATGCTCAGCTACAAAAAAAAAACTTGCCTACCTTTGAATGAAATCAAATTAAACGTTCTAAATCAATGCAAATATTTGAATAAAAACTCTATGCAGCGGCAGCGGCACTAAAGCGCTATCAGAGTGTGGCTATTGAACTATTTCAATTTCATTCTAGAACACAGCAGAATTACCCATAAGGAGCGTTGTAGCACGAGCGGAGTTTGGGGCTCCTGGTCGCGTCTGTTCCCCCCTCCACGACGGTGATTCTTTTCTATCAGCAAGCACTGCCGCCCAGCACCCCTCTATCACGAAGAAACGTACCGCGCGGAAACAGGCCGTTGCGGTTCAAAATGGCGTCGGACGAATGCGTCGTTCAAAAAAATGCGTTAACTTATGTTTCCACAGAAATGCGATCAATCCTGCGGCGTTGTGCAAATAATGGTCTAAATCAAAGGAATAAAATGCAGGCCCCACATGATAAGATTTTACAATCCAAACATGTGCTCGGTATGAAAATACTCTTTCAAGATGGCCGCTGCCAGAACAAAGAATTTACCTGATGTTAAATTATGCCACATTTTATCAACGATTCAAACAAAGAATTTACATTATGTTAAACTATGCCCTGATTCAAAAGATGAGTTGCTTAAAACAATTTACTTTGGGAGTTTAAATCGTGGACTGTCCCCAGCTTATCCCACATGATAAATAAACATAAAAATGCATCTGGCGTTGCGAGGAATATGCGTCTCGGTGATGTAATATTCAACGTTGCGAGAAAAATGTCTCGATGATAACAATGATAACTGCCTAAAGGGAAAAATTTAATCCCCCCGTACCTCAGTGTACGATATTATGAATTCTACCGCACTTTGCACGGTCCTTTTCCCAAAGTGAGACGACGTGAGGTTAATTTAACTGCCGTAAATGAAGTATTAGCAATCTTGGGTGAGGAGTTAAGAAGTGTTATTATGTAACACTCAAGTATAAGCATCCAGAAACGTTATTCATAATTTGTTAAACAAAGGATGAGCCCTGACTAAGTGAATCTCATGAAATCTTCTAGCAAGTAATTTATCTGAACAAAGCTCTCACAGTTAAACTTGTGTTAGAACCAGTAACGATTAAAACCCTAACATGAACTGTGAATTTACAAACAACAAAACAAATTTGCACCACGTGTTTGCGTCGGTCGAAAATTCGCATATTTTCGCTTGGAAAAGCCGCAAGAATTAGTTAGGCGTGTTGGGGAAACTGGGGTGTAGTCGTCGTTACGATTAATTTTCGTTAAACAAAGGCTCTCCATTTTTATTAACTACCGAACCAACTAAACTTAACCTAGCTTCCTTACCGCCCGTTTCACTCACCAAAACAAAAACAACAGTGACGCCAACGAACAATGACTCATCTACCAAGCCAGCCAACTTCTACCAACCCTCTCACTAGATACTACCGACAAACTCCCCTAGAGAGCTACCAACTACCCAAAAAGAACTAAACGTGCACATGGTTGCCTACGTTTAACAGTTTTCTTGATTGATTTTTTTTCAAATTCAAATTATTCAAATGCGATTTCGCGCCGCTGTTTTTATTTTCAGCGTGAAATTTTAATTCAAATTTGGACACCACACTTCACTTTTTAGTATTTTTTTCTTTTCCAACTTTTATATTTATCCATATTCCCCGTCCACATTTCGCTGTCAATTGTTATTTTGTTCTTTGCTCTTATCTTTCTTCTTTTGCATGACCAACTCTGTACTGTCTATTAGTTTTATTTTATTTACCATAAGCAATTCTTTGTCTTTGCTACTATTTATGTAATTATATCAGGCAATTTTTTCTCCGAGTTTTAAGTGCTGATTTCCCTGCCTAAGTAAGTAGCTACCTATTATTTTTATTCGCCTTCTGTTCTACGTAATAGTTGGATTCTGTTTTTGTTTTCTTATTTTTTGCGATGGTTCCTTATTTTGTCATTTTCCTTTTTCAGTTGCTCAGTTTCCGAGTTTAGTTGTCCACCTCTTCTTTAAATTCCTTGTTATGGTCTGTCTTATTGTTTCATATCATTTCTTATTTCCTTAAATTCCTTTTTCATTTCAAGCACTTTATCAAGTTCCTCTCCATTTCTTTCCTTATGTTTTCCTGGAAAGTTGTTCTTCTTCTTCGGTGTTCTTTTCGCTTTCCTACTTTCTCCAAACACTTCTTTTCTCCTTCTTTTCTCGTTTAAAAATAAACCAGACCTGCCTTCTCTTGATTTATTGTCACTATTTTGTACTCACAATATTTTGTTTTCTTAATTTTGTTGTTATTTATTGATAAATTATGCAACACAAAAAAAATCACATTTGTTTTCCTATGAGAGTCTGTCAAATTTATTTAAAACATATTAAAAACATAGTTCTGGACATAATAAAGAACCGTCTTTTTTTTATTATTGCTGTATCATAAATTCTAAAACTAATAACAAAAAACGTTTTCCAGGTTTGGACTGTAATAGTTTTGAAAAGAATTTCAACGTTTTGCCCCCTTCGTTCTGGAAACTTTTCGTTCTTTTTGTCATTTATTTCCTGAAGATAGCCTCTATGGAAGTGGGCAAATTGTCGAAACCGTTTTCAAAATTAAATTTTCATTATTAACCCTGCACGCAAATCTTCGATTCCATTTCTAAGAATAGTAAATTATATTCTTTAAGAAATATTTATTGATTAACATAAAATTAGCAGTTTTATGTCCGAAAGAAATAATTTACAACACTTTTAAACTACAACCTCAGTAGCAAATTGCAATTTTTTTTAGCCTCAAAGTATATAAACAGCTAAGGAAAAATGTTAACTGTTTTCAACCCTCTTGGAAAGCTATATTTAAATCTATCCAACCCATCGACAACCTAAGCGTGTAACGTGTCCTAAGATCATGAATTAGGTTTGTGACAATAAAAAATGCAAAGTGGAGAATAAAATACCAAAAAGAAAGCTTTTACGTACGTCGTGTTTGAATGTTTCATGGTAGGTAGTTGGTAAGGAATACTTTAATGGCTAAAAAAGGCTGAGGCTTTCACTTGCGTCTGCCTCTCTCACAGTTTGAAAGGTTTAGTAGATCTACAAGTGTTTCACAAGCATGAAGGAACTGAAACGAAATCAAGGTTTTAAATTCCCCAAGGGAACAGATAAAAGGCAGCACGTCGAACAGGAAACCAGTAAAACTGAAAAAATCCGTTTGAAGACTGCAAAATTACAAATATAAGAGTATAACTTAGCAAAAGGTCGTCGGATCGAGATAAATCCTTTAATGCAACTGGCTAAAAATATCCTTGCTTTGAACATTATTTATTACTTATTAATTATCACTGGTTAAGAAATTATTTCCAAGTAAATAAACAACTCATTGATCGTTCTTTCAGATTTGCATAATGGACCAAGCCAACGACTTAATCGGCAGCAACCCTCTTCTAGGCTGCTGTCTCATAGGCCCTAAGGAAACCGGTCCGGAGCGCGACCATTGGCTAGACATGACCCAGAGTCCACGGAAAGCCATCGCCTGTTGGCACACCATGAGGTAAATCCCCGACCACGCTCAATTCATCGATTGATCATAAAACGACTTGAAGAAAAAGACAAGAACAAGAAGACAAAGAAACGAGTCTACGTGTCCACATTTTAATGTTATTCTATGTTAAACGTGCCCATATAATTAAGTGTTGCTACTAAGTTAAAGTATGAGCTTGATTAGAGTATCAAAACTCATTTATTTGATAAGTGTTGAGATTGATTCGAGTTTAAAAAAAGGCCTCGTTATCACAATAAGTAAACTACGCAAGGAGAACTTATGAATTCCATGTGTCCTTTTGAATGTTTTTACAAGACAATCATTTTATTTAATATAACTCGATTTTTTAACTGTCATAGGAGTAATAGTGAGGGAAAGCTGTCTAAAAGGATATTTATATTTGATATTGTTATTCTTTTAACACTACTTGTAACCACTGCACTTTGTATAAAATGTGAATTTTATCGAGAAAAAAGCGCTTAAATTGACATCAGGGATGTTGAATTAAATTGGGTCTTATGACGTCCCTCATACTTATGATGAATGTGTCTATCTATTTACACTACTGATAGGTAAATTATATCAAAGAATATCTTAATCTATTTATATCTGTATATCGACTGTTTTTAAATACTACCTACGATTTATTTAATAAAATCAAACGATGTACCTAACAAATCCCTCTGTATCAACTCGTCTGGCCAAAATCAATTTGCAAAATTTGAACTCGCTTAGAAAAATTAAGAGTTTCGTCAGCGTCGTCGTAGCTATTCAACTCGCACTTTACAAGTTTATATTATTAAAGCAAGACGCACTTTCACCAGATGCAATGATGGCCGGAGGGGTTGACACGGACAATATATCAGTATATCAACTATAAGTACCTAAATGTTATATGTTGTTTATTTAACTTGATACCTGTTTATTGATTTTTAATAATTATTGTAAACAGTGTACCTAAAACGATTGTTGCAATAAATATCAGTGACTATTTACCGTAACACTTCGTATGAAATTATAAATTACAACCTACTGTGAAAATAATTGTTAGGTCACACTTATTTCTTTTATTAGTCGTCACAAACCATACACGTGAAAAAGAACGTACACTGAGTATGCAGATGAAAGCAACTTATGTTTTTTTTATTAAACTACATTTTTTTAATTATTGCTTCCACAATAATGATATACAATTTCTACTAACTAACTGTCGTTATAAAATTGTAAATTAATTACACTTATAATTCGGACTTGTATTATTCATAAAAATTTTGCTACCTAACAAAGTGAATGAAGTATATACTATTTTGTATTAACAAAATAATGATCATAAAGTGTAAGAAAAGATGGTTCCATTTAACAAAGTTAGCAATCCAAAGTTTGCTTTAGCTTTCTGTAACATGCAATTTTTTTTCAGAGTATTTCGAATGAGTAAAGCAAAAAATTCAGTGGTCAGGATATTACAGGTACTAAGCATAAATGTAACACAAGAATATTATATACAACATCCGTGCTGAAATCACTTTTCTTAAACTGCATAACCAATTTCCTCTACGGTAGACGATATGACCCGCAATGAAATTCTGTTTGTATTTTGGTAATTTTTTGTGTTTTATAATTGGTATACAGAAAATTAAAAAAAAACGACTGCCAGGATTTACGTACTTTATTGATTGAATCAAAACACATTAAGCTATTTTTTCTGAAATTTTGAAAACTTGGTACTGTTGTAATTAGAGTGGCACTGTATCAAAATCAATGTATTTGTTCTCACTAAAAAGTTCATGAAGACATCACAAAATTCTGTTTATGAAATATACCTTACAAATTTTCCATTGTTAATGTACGAAAATCTAAAAAAAATAGATACATTTCAAAACTAAAAATGAAACTTTAGATATTAGCTCACAAGGGCACGTGTCCTCCCAAAATTACAACGTTTACAAACACACAGGACATAGCAAAATAGTAATTTTCAATATTTAAAAAATTATCCGGATTTTTTTTATCTCGCTCCATTTGTATAAAATGTATCAAAATTCACATCTAAAGATGTTGTGTCTTGGATATATGATGTGTTGCTGAAGTGCTGATAAAAGCAGAGACCAAATCATGACTCATTTAGACGTTTTGTTTACACCGTTGCCATGGAAATCGTATGTCTAGTCGCTGTATTTGGCTGCAATCGGGTCCTACACAAACAGTGACCACTAGCAGTAACTCAGTTGCGGGATTTCATTTTCATTCTGCGCGAGTGAAACTGTTTGACTTTAAATAAAAATAATGAATAATTTAATCAAAAAATGGTCCTCTGTCTTACGACGGTAAAGTTTTACTGAAAAATATAGGGACAGCCACTCCCGATTTGTTAATTAAAAAAAAAAGTGTTCATGACAAAACGAGAAATTTTCATAGATATTGTAATAGACATACCAATTATGGTAAATTTTTGTGGATATGCGGTTGTGAAAAAAATAATAAATTGTTTTGTTTTGTATGTCTCTTCAGTAATAATTTAAAATGAACGGTATGTAGACAAGTACTTTTTTACTTTTTTGAATGTGTTTTTGTATTTATTTAGGTCACACAATTTCATCCATTAATTGGTAATAACAGCCTGCTTTATAAGTATGTATCTTTATATTTAACTCATCAATCAAATTGTGTCCCCTCATTTTAAAAGGTCACGAGCCGCCACTGTTAGCTCACACAGCTCTCACAAATACTTCACCTGTTAAACAAAATTAAAATACGTATTTTGTCCAAAAATACAAAATTGGATATTGCACTTGTTAAACAATAGAAAAAGACGAAAAAAAGAACACACAGAGGGCTATTTCAAGAAAATAATAATTTTTAGACAATATATATGCATACAGGTATCCTAGTTAAAATTATTATATCTTGAGAACGAATACCGAAATTGAAATGCTGTAAACGCCATTGTTTTTCGCTTGAAGAGGACAGCTGAATTTAGTACAATGCAAATATGACGCATATATGGTGTCGACGTATCGGCGCATACTTACCTAGGTATATTTTTTTTAATTTCAACGTACTTTTTTAACGGATTTTGACAGATCATTAAATTACAATGACAGAAACATTTAAATATTTAATTCAATTGCAGTTGATAAAAAAAATAAAAATTGTAAACATAAAACAATAAAAGATGAGTGAAATAAACTGTGATAACCCAAACTTCCCGCCTTAAATTGACTTTGAAAAAGTTTGAGAAACCCGCGAAAAATTCAAAAATTCAAAATTTGGCCTTGGCTGTGATCGTCTAACGAATGGAAACCTAGTTGTGTTTTTTCTTTTTTGAAAAGTGGCGGGAAGGCGTTCTTTCATACAAGTGAACATACACTGTGTACGAGCAGAGAGCGCAAGAAATAATAGACAAACTTTTGGGCAGGGGGTAAAATCGCACCCCTCTCTAGGAGGAAAAGGAACTGCGAGCGAGGGCGACACGGGCTTGCAATCTCGCATTCACCATTCACTCCCCAGCCCCAAAAACCCCCTATGGTTTATTCACCCACATATAATACATCGCAAATGGAAAACGTAAAAATATGAAAGAAAGAGACAACCGCGAGTTGACAGACATACACATATGGGAAACCGACCAAGTACAAAAACCCTACGTTTATGTTTCGAATCAATGCAAATATTTGAATATCACAAATTTAATAAAAACAAAGCAAAATCTAAATTAAAGTAACTGGATGAAAATACACAAGTTATTACAGGCGTGTGGCGTCAAATTTAAAGTTACGGCAGTTAACAGGAGCACAACAAAAATACCCCTGGAGCGTTCTAGCATAAGCGGAGTTTGGGGCTCCCGGCCGTGGCTGTTCTCCCCTGCCGCACTAACGAGGCTGTTACGGTCGAAAACTGTTGGTTGGAATGTCAAGGTTATAAATAAGCTGACAGCTACACATCGTCCAGACCGTTCCCACTAACTCTATACAAAGCATGCACCCCTTGTGCAGATGGCGCAACAAATCCCGCTAGCCCCACTAGGAACCGCGCCCTACGCTTCTGCTACGTGTTTCAGTGTTATTTAACCTCAGTTGTTCCATTTTTAAATGTTCAATTTCTTATGACTCTAATATTGTCGACAACTGAACAAGTAAAGTTTCAAAGAAGCAATAAACAACATTTAAATTCGCCATTCAATCTTGTGAAATTTTAAACAACACATAATTCTTATGTAAGATTAAAATTGGACATCAGATAACTTATACGACGGAAACATTCATCAACAAAATATTTACAAAACATAAACTTAGCAAAGATTTATAAAAAAAAAAGATCTTTTGTGAAATAAACTTGTTCAAATAAAAATATTATGTGAGGTTAAAACTGCAGAGAATGAAATTTACGTTCAATTAAAATTATACAACCAAGAAAATTAATAAAGTTAAAATTGTGAGAAATATTGTATGAGGTGAAAAATTGCAAAGCCAACAAAACATGAGATTAATATACTTGCCACACTTTATCAACGATTCAAAGAAAGAGTTTACATTATGCCAAATTATGTCATGATCCAAGTGATTGGTTATTTAAAAACAATTTACTTTAAGAATTTAAAATACCGTGAACTGGTTACCCCAACAAAACACATAATAAATAAACACAAAAATATCCAGTCATCGTTGCGAGGAAAAAGCGTCTCGGTGATGTAAATTTTATCGTTGCGAGGAAATGCCTCGATGATGTAAATTTTAACGTTGCGAGGAAACGCCTCGATGATGTAATCAAACTTTAGCATTGCGAGAACATGTCTCGGTGATATAATGATAATAACAATGCTAATGACGATGATAACTGCCTAAGGGAAGAAATTATTTTAACTCCCCGCCAGTTCACAGTATAATGAATTTTGTTAAGTTAACTGCCGTAAATGAACTATTAGCAATCTTGTGTGAAGAATTAAGAAGTGTTATAATGTAACACTTACGTATATGCATCCAGAAACTTATTCGTGATTAAACAAAGGTGTTATCCTGACCAAGTGAATTTCATAAAATCTTTTAGCAAGTGGTTTATTTAACTAATCCTGATTGTTAAATTGTGTTAGCACTAGCTGACGATTAAGAAAAAGTAACTTGATTGGTGAATTTACAAACAATGAAACAAATTTACAGCACGTGTTTCGCGTTGAACGGATGTCCGCATTTTTCCGATTAAAAGGCCGCAAGAATTAACGGTGCGGGTTGGGGACACCTGAGTGACGTTGGCTACAATTTACCATATTTCCGATAACCTCAAAACATTTGTAAGGTTTCCGAGCATTCGGTTTTGCAATTTCACAGTTAAATTGTAAAATGTTGTTATAGATTTTTTTTATAAAAATCCGGATGCCTAGGGTGAAAACTCAACACAAGTGAATGAGTAAGTATGTTATTTTATACTCCTAAAAGTTAATTAAAATTTACTATTGTAAAGTTGGAGATTATATCATATAATCGTTGGTGGGGATGATCAGATATATTTTGGTCAGCGTTTTATCATCTACATTCTAGGCCATATTTCTAATATACAAAGTTTGACAACAATCGGTTCGGTAATTTGGAAGATTATTCAATAAAAGTCGACACAGATGCGGACAGAGGGTTGACGGCAGACAGTGGACAGACAGACGGAAACGAGAGACTTAAGTTTTCGTTTTCTAGGGGTCATGAAACGTCGGGAAAACATAGAAGTGGAGAGTCGCCCGATGGATTCGATTACAATTCTTTCTTGGCTTACGCCCGAGAAGCAAAAGTACCGAGTGTCTTGATATTTCTTCGCTCACCTGGTCACATAATTAAAAGACTGAATAGAAAAAAATATATACCTATAGGAATAATTAGATATGACACAAAGTACTTGAACTTAGTTTTTAAAATGGGAAACAGAAACAGACGAACACAAAAATAAATATATAAAAACACCAAGAAACAATTGTCACGTTTTATTCAAGACTAATAACCAAACAACGAACTTAAGTTTTTAATAGAAAACTTATTCTGCTCAACATCAACAAAACTGTTCGAGCCGCTGCTCCTCACTCGCAATTTAATTTCAGGACTTGCGGTATTTTCGGGCCACACCGTCGTAATCATCACCGTGCTACCTTTACCTATAAATCCACTTTCGTGGGCCGCCGCCAATTGGTTAACAACTCTCCTTTCAACTTCGTACTTGATAGATCTTGCGCCATAGTGGACATCGTAACCATCGGCTAAAGCAGACTCCACACTTCTGTCCCAATTCAAGTCAATCTTATGCTTTTCTTTAGCCTGAAACAACGATGTATCTAATTTTTTACTTTTACTCTAAGAACAGCTCACTCTTTGCGCCCAAATCGCCATCTCCTTCCCCACAAGCTGCAACAGCTCGTTTCGAGAAAACGGCAGGAAGTAGACGATCTCGTTAATCCGTCCTAGAAACTCGTCTCTTTTGAAATGTCTCTTAAGGATAGGTTTGACCACCTCGTCTTTGAATTTTCGAGAAACTGTAATGTTGTCGGAAATATCTTCATCTAAAAAAGCGCGTCGTGAAAATGAGTCTAGAATTGTTGAAAATAAAGAAGTCAACCTTTCTGCTTCGTCTTCAACCGCTTCGCTCTCAAAATTTCGATTTCTTGTCTCAAATTTAAACCATGTTGGGCAATTTCGTCGCTCGCCAAATTCGAAGTCATCACAAAAATTGCATCTTTGCACTCTATAGTTTTACCGTGACCGTCAGTCAGACGGCCTTCATCAAAGAGTTGCAAGAGAACGGTCAACACGTCAGGGTGTGCTTTATCGACCTCGTCGAATAAAACCACGGCATTAGGACATTGTCTGAGGCGCGAAGTGAGCTGACCGCCCTCATCGTGGCCTATGTAACCCGGCGGAGCCCCAATAAGTTTAGCCACCTATGAAATCAACAAATATATTTAAAAAAATGACGCCCTAACAAATTACTCGCTTATTATAAAACAGAGAACCAAGTCTTACTTCGTGTTTTTCCTGATACTCAGACATGTCCAGTCTAATGAATGCCTGAGCTTTGTCTTTGTGCATGTAGGAAGCTAGTTGTTTGGCCAATTCGGTTTTGCCGATTCCAGAAGATCCCAAAAATAAAAACACTAAAGGATGGTCATCGTCGCCCCAACCGTTTTCTTTTCGTCGAATTGCTGTTGTGAAAAATAGAAAATGGCAAGTTTTACACAAATTGAATGAAAATTACTTGCCGCTACGATTGTGATTGCTCCTTCCTGTCCGACGATGTGCTTTTTCAGTCTTTCTTCTAGGGGAAATCTTCGCCGCTCTTCGACTTCTTTTATTTTCTTCAGTTCTTCAAACTAAGGTTATAAAAAGGAGTTTAGAAGTTAAGAGCGCTCACTCACGGTGTAAACGTTGAGTCAGTTTTTCTCGATATATTAAGGGTGCTGTGTGCTAAAATTGGTGTCATTGTAACCCTCATTGTTGGATAAACAACATATTAAAAAATCCAACTTATCGGTAAACAAAAGGTAGGAACTTTGAGATATTTCAGTACACCTTAACAAATTTCCTAATCTCTCAATGTCTAAAAACTGTTGATAACGTTTTTTTTTTTGTTAATTGATTCTTTACTATTTCTTTTTACACGTATATTTACACCTGTGTACCTTTATTGTTTAAATCCGTGGCCCACCTGTTAGTGCAAATAGTTAGTCACCTCGAAAGGCCCCTTGGTGCGAAGAGTATCCTTGTAATTCATTCCACTTCCATAGTAAATATTCTTTTTTTTGTTATACCTATCTAACTGACAATATGAATCTTTGCAATAACTGCGGGAAAGCGACGAATAACAACCATATACAGTGCGATGGTTGTCAGGGTTACTTACACCTCGGATGTGTCGGACTGAGCGAAAATGATATAAAGATAACTCGTGGTAAATCAAGAGCTATTAAACTGGTTTGTAATACGTGTAACACGAATATGTCCCAGTTTAAAGACATCAAAAATTTAATTGCCACTATTACTTCAGATTTTGACACAAAGTTAAATAATTTAAAATCTCAATTTGAGGTTCAGTTAATGGATCTTAAAAAGTTAATTGATCAACCTAAACCTGATCCTTCGTCTAAATCTAATGATAATTTCGAAGAGGTTGTATTTGAAGTAATAGAACGCCAAAAGAGGAAAAATAATATTGTGATTTTTGGTTTGGAAGAGCCTATAAGAAACGATGGGGAGCATACCAGCAACGATCAATTAGAGGTGTTAAACATATTGAAAGAGATTAATCCTAACTGTGATGGTAACAGCCTAAAAATACTCAGACTTGGTAGATTCAATAAGGATAATCCTAGAGCAAGACCGGTGAAAGTCATATTCAATAACGAATTTGATGCCACATATTATTTAAAAAATTCGAAAAAAATTAAGAATAATGCCCGTTATAAAAACTGTTTTGTTGCATCAGATAAAACTCCTCGACAACTAGAATACTACAAAAAGCTTAAACAACAATTGATTGAACGAAAAACCAAAGGCGAATCAAACCTCACAATACGCTATTTTAACGATGTTCCCAAAATCACTAATTTAAACTAGAAGCTGTATCCAATTGCTCTCTTCATTGCTTGTATCAAAATGTTAATGGACTCAACTCAAAACTTACGGATTTCTATAATAATGTTGTAGCTTGTAATTATGACTTCATAGCGTTAACAGAAACATGGCTGTCAGATGAGGTAGGAAATGGTGAACTATTTAATGCTAACTACAATGTATATCGAAAAGATAGGGACTTCACGAATCTTGGACTCTCCAGAGGAGGAGGCGTTCTTCTCGCAATAAATAATAAGTTCAGTTGCACTGATTTAAAAATCTCCACTAAAACAACTGCAACACCGGAAATTGATATCCTTGGTCTAAAAATTTCAATCAACAATAAGACTTCATTATACATATTTCTTGTTTATATACCACCTTCTACATCGTTGATAAATATTGAACAGTTCTTTGAAATATTGGAAAGTGAAACTAATTTACACTCTGAGAATGTGGCATTCTTAGGAGATTTTAACGCACCCTCATTTATCACAGATAACTCAAACAGGTATAGTGTTATCCTAAATAATTTTCAAAATCTCTATAACTTGGTTCAGATTAACGCTGTTCACAATCAGATTGGTCGTATATTAGACTTAATATTTACAAATATGGAACCAATTTCAGTATGTAAATCAGATAATCCGTTAGTAAATGAGGACAAATATCATCCCGCACTTGATTTTTCTATTCAATTCACTCGAAGCCAATTTAAACCTTTTGCGATAAACCACGGTACACCACATTTTAATTTTAAAAAAGCTAATTATCACCTCCTTTACGACATGCTGCGATCTGCAGACTGGTCATGTATCAATGCTAATGACAACGTGGAAACAGCTTGTAATCGTTTCCATAAAACACTGCATGGAGTACTTACTAATTGTGTCCCTATATATCGTTTCAAACAGAATCAAAGTTTTACCTATCCGCCCTGGTTTGACAGCGAAATAATCCATTCCGTACGTCAGAAGTGGTTGGCTTTCAAGAAATATAAACGTCACAAATCTGAGTATTTTTATAATATTTATCAGCAATGTCGAACCAAATGTAAAAATTTGATTGCTGCTGCGTACAAACAATATTTACAGAATGTAGAAAATTCTCTCTTGGGAGATCCAAGCAGGATTTGGGGATTTATTCAATCAAAAAAAAAAGATTCCAGGATTCCATCTGTCATGAAGCTTAATGAATATGAATACTCCAACCCTCAATCTATTGTTAATGCATTTGCAACACACTTCAAAGATGTTTATATAATGCCAGACCCTAGTATTTCCAACGATATTTATTCATCTGATGAATTTAAACTAAACTTTTGTATTAACATTGAGAGCATCTCGGAAGAGGAAGTTTTTAAAGCTTTAAAAAGTAGTAAGAACTCATTTACACAAGGGTTTGATGAAATCCCCAGTTTTATCCTCAAAGACTGCGCAGGAGTCTTTTCGCAACCTTTATGCACACTTTTCAACCTCATTCTCAAACATTCTACTATCCCGGAAATATGGAAAAAATCATTCACAACACCAATTTTCAAAAAAGGTGATGTACAAGATGTAAAAAATTACCGACCCATTACTCTAATTTGCAATTTTGGTAAAATCTTTGACACAATACTTTGTCAACGTATATATCCTATGATCAAAGATATTATTTCTTCTGAACAGTACGGTTTTATGAGAAAAAGATCAACAGTAACTAATTTGGCTTGTTTTAATCAATTCGTGGCCGAGGTAATGGACAGTGGCAGTCAAGTTGATACCGTATATTTAGACTTTCAGAAAGCCTTTGATCAGGTGGATCATCATATTTTACTAACGAAGCTAAAAATGTATGGGTTTTCTGACTCCCTTGTTTCACTGTTTACGTCGTACTTGCTGAACAGAAAACAGTATGTTAGGTATCGAAACTTTATCTCCGATTTTTACACTCCGACTTCCGGTATTCCCCAAGGGTCAAACTTAGGACCGCTACTTTTTTTATTATTTGTAAACGATATTACTGCTGAAATTTCATGTAACAAACTTCTTTTCGCGGATGACCTTAAACTCTTCACCGAAATCAAATCAATAAATGACTGTCAGTTTTTAAAAAATAACCTCGAATCAGTTGTGAAATGGTGTGGAAGAAATCGCCTGCATTTAAATAAGGATAAATGTTCTATGGTTTCATATAATAGGAAGAAGATGATTATTGAATATGATTACATAATAGATGGTGTTACAATATCAAGAATGGATAAAATTAGAGATCTAGGAGTATTATTCGATACCAAACTCTCTTTTAAGGAACATATCTTAGATATAGCCTCCAAATCATTAAAAATCTATGGTTTCATTTATCGGAACTGTCGTGAGTTTCGTAATATTGAGACATTACGTATGTTGTATATTGCATGTATAAGGTCGAAACTAGAATGCGCCTCCTTAATATGGGATCCTCTATACATTACTTATATCCATATTCTTGAAAAAGTGCAGCGAAAATGCCTCAAATTTTTAGTTTTTATTGCCGATGGCAATTACCCACCACGAAACTGTGACCATAGTCTGTTACTAGATCGCTTTCTTCTAAATTCATTGGAGACTAGACGATTTATAGTATCAATAAAATTTGTGTTCTGTTTACTCAAGGGAAAAATTGATTCGTCATATCTTGTAGGTAAAATCTTTTTCATTGTTCCGAGAGTAAATTCAAGATGCTCTTTAACATTTTATGTATCTACTTGTAGGACGAATATTTTGTATAAGGCTCCTGTACAAAACATATGCAACAAATTTAATTTAATTTCTAGACAATGCGACATTAATGCGGATCCTCTTCAAATAATTTCTAAATGTATCATAGATGTAGTAGGAATTTAATGTAAAGTAATTTAGTTAATTTTTGTGTATTTTAGGTGCAGTATTGGTTAATTTTTCAATTTATATTATATAGTTAATAAGTATGTTCTTTTTATGCAAATACGCTCTTTAATGTGACCGCTACTTATTATATTTCCTGTAATTGGGTACATATATACCTGTTGGAAATAAAGATATTATTATTATTATTATTATAAAATCAAAGTATTTAATGTCATTTGTATGAATCAAATTTTTGGAAAAAGTAAATCATAATCAAACGAATAGCATAAATTAGTTTATGAACGACAAAATAAAATAATAAATTATACTTGTGGCAGGTATATAACGGTGATTATCGAAAGATATGACTTTAGACTTAAATTAAATGAATTGTCTAAACTAAATGACTTAAAATATAATCCAACTTTAGATAATTTACAACTTGTAGGCAGTCATTAAATAAATTTGATGTTTGTTATGAAACCTTGATTAGCGAAAATACTGAAGCAAATGAAATCTTAGTGTCAAGGTAATACACAATCTATGTTATTTTTCCATCTCAAGCATGAGTTGGAGTAGAATATAATAGGGTTCATGTGGAAAATTCATTCAATTAGCCAAAAAGAACATTCAAATGACAAAAAACGTGCAAGTTTCCTTTATGTATTGAATGACTCAGTGTTTATGCCAACCTGGTTGGCCAATATTGTGTAATATCACGACATTTACCTTAGTTGTTTCCTCTTGTAGATAAGTTTTCAAGTCTCCTTCTTTAGCATACATTAATGGAATATGTCCAGCTTCATTTTCAATCACAGGATTTGCCCCTTTCTCGACCAACAATTTCACTATTTTAAAACTATTTATTAATATTGCATAATGTAAAGCCGTGAAACCTCTAAACGACGCCTTATTACTCAAGCTACCTGAAAATTCTTCCTCCCTCATCATAAGAGCTAAAAATATGCAACCACTCAAGCCACCAAAAACTTCAAAAACAAAAATAAATACCCTCAATCGGATGAAGCCCTTTATCTCTAGCTGTACGTTTTGCACTCACAAATTCCTCCCCCAAATTGGGATCCGCTCCTGCTTCCAATAACAATCTCACAGCTTCATATTGATTATTAACAGCAGCTACCATCAGAGGTGTCCATCCTAACTGGTGCCGAACGTTCACATTTACGTTATCTTTGATAAGACTAAAAATTGCAAAATTGAAAACTACCTAATCTGTGAGGTTAAAACACATACAAATTTAGCTCATCCACAACACCAAACTGGGCAGCACGTAACAACTTTTTCTCTTTTGATGCCAAACGATTGTCGCAATAAGCGAGTGTCACTCCGAGCAGTCCCATTAAAGCAAAAGACTGGATTTTGTGAGTCCTGCGATTCTTCGTATCGCCTTCATGCCCGTTTTGGTGAAATTTGTAGTTGATGACAAAGTTACAGGCTTGTCGTGGCGAGTGGGTGAGGAAGTTACGGAAATTGTTTTTGTTTCTATGACTTGTAATGGTGCGAAGGACGGTGTGGATGTTTCTAACTTTAAACATTTCTGGAATAATACAAGGTGAATTTTAGATTGAGACACTTGCAGTGTTTTTAGGTTAGAATTTCAAAACTGACAGCTTATTGACATGGTTGACAGAGAGGGGAGAGCACGTGCCTGGATACTGCCAATCTAATAAAGGTGTAAAAACAATATTACCAATTACTTTTATGATAAAATTGGGTGGAATAAGATAACAAACACAGCACCACAAAACTGGATTTATTGTATCTTGTGAATTCACATGATACAATTGCGCAGATATGTATCTGTGTGGTTTATTTAGATCTGTGAATAGTAAAGTGGCCCAACAATTCAAGGTATGAAATCATTTTTATTTTATGTAAAGTGAACAAATAAAATAAAAACAATTCTAGACCTCAATGGTTGCGTAAGGATAGAGTCGCAAATTTCAATTTTTTTTCCTTACTTGATTCAAAACGTTAGGCTTTATCGTTGGTTTTACCAGTGATGATTTTACAATAAAATTATCAAATGATAAAAGCAAATATTTACATGTCTCCTGTTTAGTATAGTACTAGCAGTTCCGGTGAGAGATTGGGATTTCTTGACAGTTGACATGTAAGTTGGCAGCAACCTAACACTACAAAATGTGCTAAAATTCTTACGCTGTCGCTGTCTGTGTTACAAATGTAAAACTACTGAAGTTCCATTACTGCGGTTGCCTTTTTTTCTCAATAGGTGTAGTCATCTTTTCACAACAAGACACTTAAAACATGTTTAAAATGATAAATTTGTATAGGGAAATATCGATTTTGCAATTACGCTCCGCCCCTCGGTGTGACAACCAATGAAAAATTCATCACAATTGAGATCGAGACGGATGGGTGGGGCTTCTGTTTTGGTTTTCTTTTTTAATTAATACATCTAGGGCCGGTTTATAGAAAAGCGAATTAAATACTTAATCCTCGATTAATTTAGCACAGGATTAAAATGAGGAATATGAGCCCGTGATTTGCACGTTCGTTGCCTATGAACAGACCTCAATTAAAAGTTAAACTGGAATTAACTTTAATTTCGCTTTCCATAAACTGGGTCTTAGTTTTCTTTGTATAACATGATTACTTAAGAACAATTTCACATGGTAATTTCTGGTAGAAAAGTAAGGATTTTACAATTAACCTCTGCCCCTCGGTTTATGACTATTAAAAAAAAAGAATTGAGATAGGGCGGGTGGACGGGGCTTATATTTTGCCTTTTTTTAATATACGTAGCCATCTTTTCACAACAAGAAACTTAGAACATGGTTAAAATGGTAAATTTTTGCAAGGAAATATGGATTTTGCAATTATGGATCGGAGCCTAATTGCGAAATCAATGTTTTTTTTTACAAATTTTCCATTTTAAACAAGTTTCATGTTGTGAAAATAAGTCTACACATATTGAAACAAAAAAGCAAAATGTAAGCCCGCCCACCCGCCCTATCTCAATTCTGATGATTTTTTGATTCACTGTGAACCAAGGGGGCGGAGCTTAACTGTAAAATACTTATTTCATTACAAGAAATTAAAAACATGTTTTTAAGTGTCGTGTTGTTCAAAGAATGCTATGTATATTAAGAAAAAAAAAGCAAAATATAAACCCCGCCTACCCACTCCATCTCAATTGTGATGATTTTTTTTTTCTTAAAAACTTAAAACACGTTTAAAATGGTAATTTTTTTGCAATTAGTAAACTTCATTACTATTTAAATCAGGGCGGATATGGGTGGGGCTTAATCTTTGACTTTAATTTTTTCTTAATATATGTACATAGTATTCATTGAATAACACGATACTCAAAAACATGATTTACATGGTAATTTCTTGGAGAAGGTAATAAGGATTTTGCCATTAAATTTTGTTCCTTTGACTCTCGACGATTAAAAAAATCATCACAATTGAGATAGGGCGGGGGGGCGGGGCTTATATTTTGCCCTCTTTCTTAATACGTGGTCCTCTTGCCAAAACAAGAAACTTAAAACATTCATACAACAAACATAAAATTCTTGTAGACAAATATGGATCTTGCAATTAAGCCCCGCCCCTCGAACTGACAACGAATGAAAAATTCATCACAAATGAGAATTGAGATCGGGGCGGGTATAAGTGAGCCTAATCTTTGACTTTATTTTTTCTTAATATATACAGTATTCTTTGAACAACACAATACTCAAAAACATGTTTTTTATAGAGACATAGCAAAAATTGAAAAAACCGAAAAAATGAGAACCAAAAATTGAAAAATGAAACCTGAAATATCGAAAAATTTTAAAATTGAAAAATCGAAAAATGAAAAAATTGAAAAATTGAACAATAGGATAGTTGAAAAAACAATTGAAAAATCGAAAGATTGAAATATTGAAACCTGAAAACCCTGATTAATTGAAAATCGGGAAAGTGAAAAATTGAAAAAACGAAAAACAAAAACGTCTGAATTAAACAATCAAAAATACAAAAATAAAATTAATTTCAAAATTCAAAAATTTTAAAATGAAAACCGGAAAACTAAAAAATTAAGAAATTGTAAAAACGAAACATGAAAAAACTAAAAAATTGTAACATCGAAAAAACGAAACACTGAAAAACTGAAAAATTTTAAAGTTGAGAAATCGAAGAATTGAAAAAATACAAAAACTGAAAAATCGGAAAATGAAAAAGCCAAAAATTGAATAATAAAAGCCATAATAATTATTTGAAAAAAGTGAAAACTTAAAAATCGGCAAATTTAAAAATAAAACAATTACAAAATTGTAAATTTGAAAAAAAAAAATTAATATGGAACAACTGAGAGAAAGATAAAAATTGTAAAATCAAAAATTTGTAACATTGAAACCTGAAAAAGTGATAAATTAAAAATCTAGGAATTGAAAAATCGAAAAAACGAAAAATTGTAAAATTCAACATATAGAAAATCGAAAAATTAAAAAACCAAATTAGAAAATCGAAAAATTGAAATATCTACAAATTAAAAAATCGAAAAATACAACAATTTCATAATGAAAATCGAAAAACTAAAAAATAGAGAAATCGAAACACGAAAAAATCGTTATATTATCATTTAAAAAAACGAAAAATATAAAAATCTCGAACTGAGACAATAAAAAATCGAAGCAACAAAACAACTTGGAATTACATACTTGGAAGTACTTTATTTTTAATTGTCCATTTTCTCAATTTTTCGTTTTTTAATTTTTAAACAAAAAGACAAACTTATTAAAAGTGGAATTTTAAAAAATCAAAAAATTAAAAACTGAAAAATTGAGAAAGAAACATTGAATAACCGAATAATTTAAAAATTGAGAAATCGAAGAACTGCAAAAATAAAGAAACTCAAAATCGAATAATTAAGAGGTCACCAATCGAAAAAGGAAAACCTGTAACCTTAAACATGAAAAAACTGAAAATTTAAAAAACAGAAAAACCGAACAATTGCAAAATTGAAGGTCAAAAATAGAAAAAACGAAACTTGAAACACTCCGAGAAATTTAAAAATTGTAATCTTAAAACTTGAGAAACTGAAAACTTTGGTAATTGAAAAAACAGCTGAAAATTTGAAAAATTGAAAAAAAAGAAACTGTAAAATCGAAAAACTGATTAATTAAAAATCGAGAAATAGAAAAATACGGAAAACAAAATTTTCTAGAAATAAAAAAATCGATAAATTGTAAAATTAAAAAATCGAAAACTGAAAAATTGAAAAAAGTGAAACATTGAACAATAAAAAAAATGAAATACCGAAATGTTGAAAAAATAGCGGAAGTAAAAAATCGGATAACAAAGAAATCACCGATTGAAAAATAAAAAAATATCTTAAAATGGAAAAATCGAAAAAACGAGAAACTGACAAATCTAAAAATTATAACATTGAAACCTGAAAAAATTGACGAAATAAAAATCGAGAAACTGAAAAATCGATAACAAAAAATTAAAAAATGCAAGAACTCCGAAGAGAAATCCTAAAATCGAAAAGCTAAGAATCTAAAAAACTTTAAAAATCGATGCGAATTAAAAAAAAAAGCTCAGACCACACAGATGAAAGCAATAATTAATATTCGACTTTGGGCTGTCCCTACTGTATGATATACTGTGACCATACACCATAGTATGATATACTGTGGTTCTGTTTTACGTGGGAATGTGGAATGTCAAAGGTTGGCTGAAGTTGGCAACGCTGATAGATTCGAAAAATACAAACAAATGCGTTATGGCAGGTTATGGTTTCTGTTTTCCGGTTTTTAACTTTTCTGTGTCTGTACTCGGTGTGTTGTGTGTTCTTTGTTTTAACCACAAGAAATAGAAACGTTACTATTTTACAAGGAGGTGAGAGGTTAGAAGTACCAATTGTATTCACGTATTCTCAAGACTTTTTGCGCTTTAACACATGTACGGTGATTCGTATCTACAACCCTTTGAATATCTGTGGCGATTTTTTTCCTTCGACTTTTTCGCATTCTTTGTCGATATGGCTTGTGCTCAGCCGTCCACCTCGACAACCGTCCCTGCAAATGAAGACTCGGAATTGGACGAAGTTTGTACCTACAATAACTGTTCAGGTTGTTCAATGACCATGCGATCCTTTTATCGTTTTTATAACGACGAAGAAGCGTTGCTTCGGTTCTTCTACAGTCATGGTGTGCTCCCGTGTCATTATAAATGCCCCACGTGTGAAACACGGCTCGTCAAAAAATCCCAAGGTTTATTCCGTTGCCGCCGGCGAATCAAGAAGAGAACCAAGAGGACTTGCGATACTTCAGTTTCCATCTATCATTCGTCCTTCCTTGCCTGCACCCACCTGAAGTCCATCCAGGTTGCCGAAATCGTCTGGCTGTACATTACAAGACGACCACCTCGTCACACTTTCATGCACCTAGAAACGGGATTGTCGACGAAGACGTTGGTTGACTGGGTCTCGTTCATAAGGGAAGTTTTGATTGTGTGGGCCGTTAACAACTCTCAAGAAGTCGGAGGAGAAGGTGTCGTTATTGAAATCGAGGAGGCGACGATTGGAAAGCGGAACGACAATAGAGAATGCTTCCTCGAAGGCCAGTGGGTCATTGGAGGGATTGAATGGGGAACAAAGAAATTCTTTCTAATGACAGTTGAGGGTCGTGATACTGATACCCTTGTTTCGGCTATTATGGACAAAATAAAACCAGGGACCACTATTTTCAGTGACTGTTGGAATGATTATTTTGAAGATGAAGACTTTCAGAATCTCGTGGTTAATTATCCGCTTCGTTTTATGGATCCAGGCAGTTCGACTCCGCCACAGAAAAGTGGGAGAATGTGGGATGAAGTCAAGCAACATGTGCCAAATTATGGTCGCAAAAATGAGCACTATGATGGTTACTTGTCAGAGTGTCTTTTTATGATGAAACATGAAGACCATCGACAACGTTTCCATGAGTTTTGGAAAGCGGTGGCACAACTACATCCTGGTTTGCCACATGCTTAAAAAGCATTGTTCAGGTGAGCAAAAGTAGTCATTTTCATTACCACACTAAAATTAATTACCACATTTCATAGACAAGTAATTCAAAATTCAATGAGTCATGGAGTGAGGAAATCCACGTTGATGAGTATGTTTGATTCAAACGCGTAGCACCCTACTATTCCAAGGACGTGCCACAACCATGGATTTCCATGGACAAACAACTTATTACATTTTACAATGTCTCCTGCAGTAAACAGGTAAGTCAAAAGGATTGCCTTTAATTGCCCAACTAATATATTTTTTGTATTTATTTACTTTTTTTTTAGTACAGATACTTCAAACCCGAGATTCGCGTGGAACTTGTTTTATGCAAAACACTCAATTAGAGATTTCTAAAATTCTTTGTTTCATGAACCAAGTTATTCTACATTTAGAAGTATGTGTGAGAATTTTCTAGAACTGTGACATGCATGAGATTGCATAAAAAGAAAAAGTTACTTTCAACCAGTCAAGTGAATCCAGTGTCTTAAATAAATTCTAAAATTGATTCTGCGTTTTTTGTTTTTTTTTTACTTCCCGAGCGTAAGCAAAGGTAGTATTGTAATCGAGTCCGTCGGCCGACTCTCTACTTTTGCATTTTCTCGACCTATCATAACCCCTAGAGAACGAAGAAATAGGTTTCCCGTTTCTGTCTCTCTGTCCGTCCCGGATTTTTATTACACAGATAATCTCCGAAAGTACTGGGCCGATTGTTATCAAATTTTGTATTTATATTAGGTATATCATGTAGATGGTAAAACGCTAACCAAAATTTGCCTAATCATCCCCACCACTAATGTGACGACGTCACTTCAAAATTGTACATAGTAAACGGGTTTTAAATTGTATCAAATAACAGTCTTACACATGTAGTTTATGACTCCGAATTGAAATTTTACCCGAAACGTCCAGATTTTTTGGGGAAAAAAATCAAAATTATAAAACATTTTGACATTTAATTTGTAATCTGCAAAATCGAATGCTTTGAAATCTTGCAGATGATTTACAGTTATGATAAGTTTTTATTCATTTATCTGTACTACGCATGTCCAAAGAACTAAAAAAGTCGACTCGATTTAATAACATTTCTATTACAAGAGATAGAACACCTATGCAATTAGAACTATATCCTAACACAAAAATTGAGCTGAATCAAGGTATCGCGAACGGCGAATCAAATCTAAGAATTAGATATGACAGAGGAATTCCTGTTATTATATCATTAAAACTCCCTGTTAGCCCCACGGTAAACTAAAATCGCCTAACAGATTATCAGTCTCCTTAAACATATCCCCAGTAACATTTTATATGTAATAAATATTGAAGTTCTGACATTTAAATAATATGGGTAACGACAGATTTTTTTTTAGAAAATCAATATTGGTTTTAAATATTGAATATATATTTATTTTCAATGTTTAATACTTATTTAGTTCAGAACATTTAATAAATGTTCTTCATATGAAAGGGGGTATGGATAAAAAAAAAACTTGTATGGAATACAATATAAAATTTATTAAACACAAAAATACATTGTCACTGGAAATAACAGTGTATTTGAAACGTTGCGGCAATATTTTTACATTTAAAAATTATTTGTCCTAGAACCAATTCGTTGAAAATTTGTACCAGGTGATTTTTTTTTAATTTCTGCTGTAGTTACCCATGACACTTATGTCAGCAGTGAATCTGAAACTGCTGACATAATCTTCATGGGCAACCAGAGCATAAATTTAAAAAATCACCTGATAAAATATATAAATATATATACATTTTTTAAACATAAACATACACTGCCAACTTATAATGAAATAAAAATACATTGTCAATGGAAATAACAATGTTCTGCTACATTTCAATCGTTACACAGAAATATTTATTTAATAATTATTTGCTCTATAACCAATTCATTGAAAAGAGATATAATTAATTAAAATAAAAAAATCATACCTCATGTTTTTTTCGATGAGAATTCATTCTTGCTTTTGTCTGCGCTTAATGAGGTCCTACCATTTATTAAATTTCAGTAGTTGTGGCGTTTTTGTGACGTTTCCGTGTGGTACCTACAATTAAATTAACTTACAAAGTTCGTAATTTTTAAGAAATCACATAACTTTACATACTGTAGCCTTGTTAATTGTGAGTTCACTAAAAGAGAGCTTTTTTTTTTCCTTGCCCTGAAAACTTGAAAGCAATTGGTTCATTATTAATAATTTCTTCAAAATTGCATATATGTTTTTTTACGTCTTCTCTTCCTGGCAAATAAACATTATTATCAGTCTGAAACTAGTTTATAAATACTAGGAGTTAATAATAATAAATGCTTACCAATTCATCCAATTTCTGCGTATCTCCCGCAATTTCCAACTCGATTTCTTCTTTTTTTTTTGTTGCGCCCGAACATTCATCATTTTGTCTCTACATTCATAATATACTTATATTCAGAAATATTAAACCTCTTATTAAATATACTTACGTGTTGAGAAATTGCATTTTCTGCATTGCATGTAGAAGTGAGGTTATGTAGGTTTAGTACTGTTTTCTTGACAAAACGGTATCTGGTGGTATCTACTACAGTATTCTGAATTTATCGCAGTACCGATAATCACAATTCACAATAGGACAAACACCATGAACTTACACAAAATACTTTTTGAACCACCAACAATAACAAAAAATATGTATATGTTGCACATTGCGCAAACGCGTTCCAGCAGAGCAAGCGCATCTGTAGGTGAAACGCAAATTTAACTAAGTTTTATAAAAATGATGAATAAAATTGTTATTTTTTGTTCGCAAAAATAAAAAAAAATATTACTTTTTAATGAGCAATTAACAGTGTGCAAAGCGAGATTTCGAATACTGTCAATTTCACAATAGCTGGTATTTTTTCAAATCAATTTTTAATATTGCTCCAATAAAAACCCTATGAAATAAATTACCTACAAGTTGTCCCAAAATGGTACTTTTTTTTCAATTTTGTTGTTCGTTATGTTGATAAAAAGACATTTCATAAATATGTAATATATGTTGAAATTCATATATAAATTTATAAATATAAAATGAATATTATATAAATACTTGTAATATCTAGTCAACATTTAACATTATATCAATCTTGTATAAATATTAGAAAAATATTGCTTGCTACTGGGGATACCTATATTATCAAAATACACGAGACTTACGTTCTAAATTGCACATATTTTATGAAAATATATCTGAATGTTCTTTTGATATCATAGTAGCAACGGAAACATGGTTAAATAATACTTTTTTTAATTCTGAAATATGTCCTTCATTTTATAGTGTTGTTAGATCTGATAGAAAATTTTCAACTATCGGATGTACTAAGGGAGGTGGTGTTCTTGTTTGTTTGTCTACTAAAATCAATTACAATGTTATTGATACTACAATCATTACAGAGATATTGCCCTCTATTGATTTGGTTGTTTGCAGTTGCCTCTTCAATTCGTTTTAGTTTTATTTAGCAGCCATTTATGTGCCTCCTGATACTTCTTCTGCCAATTTGGAGTTACTTTTTGAAGCACTAGAGCCCGTATTACTAAATAAACCAACTTTATTTGTTGGAGATTTCAATTTAACGCACTACAGTAGTAATAATTTAATATATAATTCTCCTCGTAGTAAAGAACACTTGTTTTCTACATTTTGTAATTTGCTTAATTATTTAGACAACATAACTGTATTAAATGCTAATAATAGAATGCTGGACTTAATTGTATCAAATTTTGACTGTAACATTTCAGTTTCTCAAGAGGAATTTCCATTTGTCCCAGAGGATGCTCATCATCCTTCTTTGGCAATTACGACTGAGTTTCTTCTACCTTCTCAAACTAATAAGTTCCCAACTGCTGACAATACTAGGTACAATTTCAGAAAAGCCAATTACACAAACTTGTATAGTGATCTGCTGATGGTTGAGTGGTCGTTTTTAATGGACTTCAGTGATGTAAATTCTTGTTTGGATTCTTTCTATATTAAATTTTATAGCATAATGCACTCTTCAGTTCCGCAGTATCGATCAACTAAATCGCATTTTCCTTCCTGGTTTAATAAAATGATAATTTCAAAATTAAAACTAAAAAAATACTACCATAAAATATGGAAAATTACTTGCTATGATTCTTACTATATCGAATTTAAGAGGCTTCGAAGTGAATGTAAGAGATTAATAAATGTTGCACACCATAGTCATTTAAATAAAATTGAAAATTCTCTATATGATTCTCCAAAAAACCTATGGAAATATGTTGAATCTAAGAAAGATACTACTCGTATTCCTAGTAAACTGTGTCATAATGCCAGGGAAAGTGATAATCCTCAGCACTGTGTTGATATGTTTGCAGAACAATTTTCAAGTTCATTTAGACCAAAACTAAATGCTACTGTGACAGATGCTTACACTAATAATCTTTCTTTTATTGTCCAAAATGTTTCCGAAGAAGAAGTTATATCTGTAATGTCAACCTTATCTAATAAATTGACAGCCGTTCCTAGTTTCTTGATTCATGATACCCAATTTGTTTTTGCTAAACCTATTGCTATTATCATTAACCTAGCCATTAAGTCAGCAACATTTCCAGATAAATGGAAGATAGCGAGAATTGTTCCTATCTTTAAAAAAAAAGGTGATTGCCACTTAATAAAAAACTATAGACCTATTTCAATCCTTTCTAACTTCGCCAAAATATTCGAAATTCTCATTTATCGAAATATCTATTATAATATTAAATGTCATCTCTCCATTCACCAACATGGATTTCTACCAGGTCGGTCAACAATTACCAATTTAGCAGTAATTACACAGTTTATCTCGCAAGAATTAGACAGAAATAATAATCAAGTCGATGTTATTTATACTGATTTTTCTAGCGCTTTTGACTCAATAGATCATTATAGTTTATTAAATAAGCTAAGCTGTTTTGGATTTGCGGTCAGTTCTCTCAAGTTATTCCAATCGTATTTAAATAATCGTCCTAACTATGTTTCGTATAACGGTTTTAAGTCCAAGAATTTTATTTCCACTTCCGGAGTCCCCCAAGGGTCTAATTTGGGTCCCTTGCTGTTTGTTATATTTATCAATGATCTATTACTCGTAGAGCTTCTTAATTGTAAAGTACTGGCATATGCAGACGACATAAAGTTATACTCTTCAATTAATAATATCAATGATGTTAAAATCTTTCAAACTAACTTTGATAAATTAGTAAATTACTGCAGTAACGTTAAACTGGTATTAAATACTGAGAAATGCTTCTATATGACATTCACAAGAAAAGTAAATCCTGTGCATTCTATGTATACTATAAATGGTCAACATCTAAAAAAACGCCAAAATGCTAAAGATCTAGATATAACATTTGATTCGCAACTTTCTTTTTGGCAACATGTTAACAATATTTCCCTAGCGTCGTTCAAGATACTAGGATTTATATATCGAACTGCTAAAGATTTCACTGACCCGATCTTAATGAAAATATTATA